GGGGGGGGTCTTACATGTTTAAAAAAAGCATCTGGGTCTTACACTGAAGTGTTTGGACTCCCCATAGGATGAGGAGGAAACACGGGGCAGAGCATGCAGGGAATGTTTGAAATTTCCAGATGAAAACTCTTTCACACATTAAGTGGATGATTTTACACGCAGCTGGGGGAGCGCATACGTGTTTTAGCTGGCATGTTATTCAAGATGACATTTTACATTCCAAATCAAAAACAAGAATATTACACGTTAAATAACAGAATTATCTACAACTTTTTGTTTTTCCTCTTGTCACAGGTTCTTAAATGGGTAGAAGAGGCGGTGCAGTCCTCCAAGGTCAACCTGCTCTCCACAGATCATTTCAGTTCAGTCAGCAACACTTGGCAGATGCCCTTTGACCCCAGCCTTAAGGAAGTTACTGTGGCTCTCAGTGGCCCAGCACCTGAAATTGAGATACAAAATCCCCAGGGTATGACAATGATTTTAACAGGCTTTTTGAAACAGATCTTAAATTTTAACATTTTACTAGTATTATGAAGTTACTTCTTAACCAATGGATGTAACTGACACAAACTTGTAACTGTTAGGAGAGTGTTTAGCAAACGCTGATTTTATAACACGCAAAACAGTTTAAGTAAATCAAAAAGTAATTCATTTTTATCTCTATCATGTTAGATTCCAACATCTGGGTTCCATACACTGTACACATGTTTTCTTACTAACAGTATCTTGCTAATCTGTACAACATCTTGATTCTTGCAGCCACGCATGTTTCTGTTGATGAAAGTTGCAGAAAAGGTAAATAACTGACAGTATCGTTTTCTTGGACTCCAGGAAAGTTTGTGGGGACGAACGAGGGCCTGACTGAGCTCTTGCACATTCCCAACTCTGCCAAAGTTGTCAACATCAAGGACCCACAGCCGGGGGTGTGGTCTATTAAGGTAAACTATTCATTCCCTACCTGGACGTGTGTGAAATGATATGCTTTTAACAATTCACAGAGCAGAGATAGTTACAGAATACTTTCACTGCAGAAAGTTAGTAATAAAATGTGGTCTAGAGGTCATACCATGATCTCAGAGGGAGCCCTGACTATGAAGAGGGTTTGTAAGGTTAATAGCTGTGATGATATAAATGCATGTTGAGGTACAGTAATGTGTAATCAGTTTAATAAACATGTTTTTTGTATGAGCACCTTCCAGCCCAACAAACCATGATCAAAAATTCACAACAGGGCTCTGAGATATATTTTACGACAGCCATTTTAGATAAAAATAAAAAGGTTCAAGGCCACTGCTTTCAACATAAGCAGCTATGTTCAAACAGTTGGCAACAAGCTGTCCGTGAAATGCCAAACAAATCATTCCCAACAGCCTGTTCTGTCAAAACCAGATGTTGGGAAATGACAAGCAGTTTTCCCAGAGATATGTGCTGATGGGTCATCATTGACTCATGTATTCTCTTTAGACCTGTAATGGAACGGTTTACCTCGTTTTAATATATCTGTGCTTTGTGTTAGAAACCTGACACATCTAAGTGAGAAAAAAAAAGAATGAAAATAGCATTTCCTTTCTAAAGCCACTATCCCACTGGGCCGCAACTGTTTCCAACTAATTGGCGAAACACATTCTCCAACGTGTCTCAAAATGTTTCTACGTGTTCATGATGTTCTTGAGTGAGTTGCAGAGATGCAAAATCTTGTAGTTTGTATTTTTAACATGTTTAAAGTAAATTGTACAACCCATTTCCTCCTAAAATAGTCAGACGTCTCAGACATCGTGAGCCCAGTTCAAGAATGTCAGGGGTGTATATTGACACTCGCTCTCCTCTGACAGAAAACATCCAAGGCAAAAGTTCAGGTCGAAAAAACAGGGGTGGAAGTAACGAATTACAAATACTCACATTACTGTAATTAAGTAGATTTTTTTTAGGTACTTGTACTTTTATGAGTATTTCTTTCAAATGTGTAATTTTACTCATACTTAAGTACAATTTAGACCATGTAATCTACTTCGCTACCTTTAAAATCAGAAGTCGCTACTGAGTACAACCACAAGTTGAATTAATATTGGTATGGTATAAAGTTTATTCATTTTTAAAAAGTACAAAACAATTCCATAACAATATAAAAAGATACAAAAGATTTAAAATGAAAGGCAGCAGAATGAAGAAAAAAATCTCATTATATCTGCCCCTTTTTTCAAACAATTATTTCAATCATAATAATTTTCAAGTAACAGAACAAAATGAATAACTCTTTCTAATTTTTCTAATTCTGATACAAAACACACACTAATCTGCTTCATATATACTTTTTTAACAATTCAGCTTTGATCTTTTTCTTAATTAATATTCAAACCGTTCATCTGCATCTTTGTAGCCAATAAGGCTCTCAGATCACGAACACACCATATGACGTAAGCAAAGGACAACTCTGTAGAGTAGAGAGTCATTTATGGACCTAAGATTGGGAGAAAAAGCCAAAATGGAGACAAAGGACAACACTGTAAACAGAGAAAATGATGAGGTAAAGGCTGAGTGCCCGTGGCCGTACCTGGAGGAATGTTTCATGTACAGAGGGTGAAAAGGAGACAGAATCCAGATGCAAATTTTGTTTGATCTCTACAATGATAGCAGCTTACAAGACTTCAGCATTTAATCTAAAAAGACATATTGTGGTATACAAGGTTTTGCAGTTACCTGTATGATTGTTTGTATGTGTGGGTTATTAGTTTGGCTAAGTATACAAAGATCTATTGTCACTGCCATCGGTTTGCCTGGTACTAAAATAAGACGGAGCTTCAGAGCGTCTGAGAAACGAGCTTTGAATGTAGCGATTATATACAGTAAATCAAACTGAATGTCTTCTATTGACAACACAATAAAACATCAATTAGTTAAAAAGTAATTAATACTCTGACTAGTTTTTGAGAACAGTACTTTGCACGTTTATTTAAGTATTTTATAATACCAGTACTTTTACTTGTAAATGAGTACAATTTAAGCAGTGTAACAGTACTTGTACTTGAGTACAAATTTTCAGTACTCTTTCCACCTCGGCTAAAAACACTGATGATAAAAAATATTTATTGAAAATCAGCACAGAGCTTCGACAAGCATCTGATACCTGAAAAGTTAGTACTGTAAACAGAGACGTAGTGAACGAGTACATGCAAAACAGCTTGGTTGATTAACAACAAATTAGGAACAGGTACGAGAGGAGAGATGGATCAAGGCAGGAGCAAACCAGAAAACAGATGAAGAAAATACACAAAAACTCCTATGAAACCAAAGCAGCAAACAAAACCAAGGTTAGTGTAAATAACCAAATCATAAATACAAAAAATACACAAAGGCAAAAACAGCACAAAACCATCCCCATGCCCAGCAACAACACATTTTATAACCATGAAAGCGTTCCAGATAAACACATGCACATTTAATCTATGAGCAAAAGTCCTTTGTTTTTCTAACTTACGCCCGTCTCTTGTATGCTGTGATTATGTTTGGCAGAACAAAACTGTTGTAAAATACAGAGAATGCCCACATTCTCTCTCATTTAAGGTAGTTGTACAGTAAATGACAGTTCAAGTCTGCATGCCTCTTTCTGAGTTGTGACACTATCAAGATGTTTTATAAGGTGAGGAGTTTTCATTTGTCATGAACCCATACTTCAGAGTAATTACTTCGTCTTTATCTATGCAAAGCTTCAAAAGGCCTCCACATGATGGAGGCCATTATCCTCTCTGATTATAGTGGTTGAGTTTAAGTGAAGTACGAGCATCAGAGCAAATGGGCCATCTTTCAATTGTGGATGTTTTATAAGCTCAGGTGTAAGATATTTAACAGCAAACAGGGACTTGCTCGTGATGGTGACTTGCCTGCACATGTGAACGCACAAAAAGCTGCAACACAACAATCCCAAAGCCTCGTCTGTCATTAGACCCCTCTCTGCTACTTTTGATGTCTGAACTTCTTGTTTTCGTCTGAATTCCAGCAAACTTATCACCAAGTGATATCTAGCTGAGATTTTGGTAAAAGATATTTCAGTAAAATATATACTTAAAAAATAAAACAGTCAAGGTTTATTCTCTAAATTCTTTAGGTTCTCACATTACCTGACAGTCTAACGTATAAGACAGTATTCCTGACCACTTAATCAAGTATAAAAGTAAAAAAAAAAAAATGAATAAACATTTTCTTTTGTTTCTTTTGATGCAGACTTCTAGTCAAGGACGGCACTCCATCCGGATCTCTGGCCTCAGCACCATTGACTTCAGAGCTGGCTTTTCCAGAAAACCCACCTTGGATTTTAAAATGACATCAAGCAGACCAGTCCAAGGTGTGTTCAGTTAATCTTTTCCTGTCTGTTCCAAAAAAAATCACACCTATTTTCTTTTGAGTTGGTTAATAAGTAATATTTACCATTTTTCAGGTATCCCGACTCACATCCTTCTGAACACCACTGGGCTTTCCCCTCCTGCTCGGCCTGACAGGCTGGAGCTCCTCGCAATCACAGGCGAGGTTATCAAAACGTTACCGATCCGGTACTACCCTGAGCATCAGCCATACAACCTCTGGAACCTCACGGAGTTCATCCCACCCAACGAGGCTTTCTTTCTGCGGGTTACAGGATATGATCAGGATGGTTACGTATTCCAGCGAGTCTCTAGCGTTTCTTTCTCCAGTATTATACCAAGTGAGAGATGTGTATTGTTGCCCACATTAAGATAAAAATAATTGTTTGGTATTTGCTATTAAACAGCCAGAGTGGGTAACTTTTCTTCTTTTTATTTTGTCGTTTTTTTGTAGCTGCACCTAAAGTGATCATGCCAGCCACCACTAATGGTTACTACCTCCAGAGAGGGACTGTCAGATGTGAAGTAGAGAGTTTGATACCCTTTACTCTGCGCTTTAGTAGAGATGGAAGGCGACTTGGGGAAGACCAACTCTTCAGGTGAGGATGACTATGAAGGAGTGGAAGGGTCAGATTACTGGACCAGAAAATTTTAAAATTTTTCAAAATGTCTTTCTGTATCACTGACTTTCATCAAAAGTTTAGATTATCCATCTCCCACTGCTAATTTAAGACTGTATCTGAATTTGGGTAAAACATTTAGACGCCCTTTAGGATTATAGCGAGAAAAACCTGTTTACGTTTTTATTTTTCTTAAAGTACTTTTCCATTATCTAAAGCTATTGCCAAATGCCAGATATTTTGGGATAATATAGCAGGTAAAAATATTACACTGCAAATCTGTTGTTTTTTTGCACACTTGTATTCAGTTGGATTTTGTGTCAAGTTAAAGAAAAGGTTTCTGGCAGTTCACTTGAATTTAAAGATGAACCATAAATACAAACCCGTCTTTATGAATTGATTCCAGTGAGTCTGATAGTGCAACATGGGAAATTGACCAGGTAACTCTGAAGGATGAGGGCTACTACGAATGCATCGCCATCAGCAGCGGAGGAACAGGACGAGCTCGTACTTTTCTGGACGTGTCAGGTGAGCGGACGTCCCGAAAATCTCACAGTGCGGAACATGACAGAACATCATAGAAACTCAAAACTTGGTGAATACGTAAAAAAGGCACTTCTGATAACAGTAGGAGGGTCATTACATAAATATACTAACGTGTCTAGAGAGAATAAACTTGTCATGCGCAAAAGATTTACACAGTCCTAAAACAGCTAGAAACGAACAGATGGTTAGAATCAAGCATCAAAACAGGGTGAATTTTATGAGCTCTGACTGGTTTTGATGTGGATCTGCAAAAAGAGAAACTGCAAAAAGGCAGAATATATTTCACTTTTTAGAACTTCTGACATCAGCTCACAACTTTGTTTTATGCCTCACAGCAATTCTGTTTTATAGGAAAGATGAAAAAAAAAAAATGCACTGTAAAAATGGTGCAAGATATGTTCAACTTTACACAAGAAAAAAAGTAAATGCTTTGGTAGAGTTTAAAATGTTTTTTTCTCAGCACAAATAAACTCACTGCTCCAGTCTGTTTGATTAGTGAAGTAATAAACTGCACGCTGTAATTTTCTTGTCATTGTGTTGTCAAATTTTAGTTTAAAGCCCAAACCAGGGGAAATAATTTCTACTTTCATACTCATCTCTTGACTAAATTTTATTTTACATGCACCAATGCGCTCTATGGAGCATTTATTTTCCAGTCAGAATCTTTTTCCTCTAAGTTATTTGTGAGTCGACAACACGAGTCTGAATGCTGAGGCTTTCAAACTAGGGTTGTGCTGCTTGTACGTAATTTACTGGAATTTCACTTTAATGAATGCCAAGTTAACAAAATAGCAGAGATATAAAAAAACATTAAGTATAAACCAGTTATACTAGTTTGTGTTTAATTGTCATAGTCTAATTCTTGTTCTTTTTTTTGCCCGTTTTCCAAATAAAAATAAATTTCCTTAGTTTTTGCTTGTGGTTCTTGAAGATTTGCCAAAATAAACAGGCCATTTATTTTAATGTTTTAAAGCATAGATACACTCACGTACTATTTAATTATATAATCTCAGCTGCCAAGTTGATGTAATCTTAATCCCAAAAAGATATGAGAAAACCCCCAGCATCCTTTCTTTATCAAAGCCTACGCCTTCTTAGACCTGTCGCGATAAACAATATATCAATTAATCGCATGATAAATAAAAATTATCGACCTCGTTTTCTTTTATCGGCTTTACTGTTTCTTTGTGTCTCTCTCTTTCTACTGAAGACACTGGATGACAAAAAGCTCAACTCCGGTGCTCTTCACTGACCTCTCCCTTTCTCGTTAAAATCTGTTTTAACCGTCCAAAATCACATTTTTTGGATCATTAAAAGCAGCTAAGCTGAGAAGCTAAGCTACGAGCTAAGCTAACAGGCCAACCTCAGGAAAAAAAACATGTCTTTTCAAAGCTCCAAAATTCACAGTTGAAACCCATGCCTTCGTCTAAAAAGTTGTTTTTCTCTGCAAAAAGAAGCTGAGAACTTGTTTACTGATTTTTATTTAATTTTATTAAAAGCCTTGCATAAAAAATGCTATGCTAAAAGCTCAAACCACACCGAGTGGCCACCGTTTTGAGAACCGAAGAAAGGAAGTAGAGACAGTCCATGTCAAGAGGCCTTCCTCCCAGTTTTCTTAAAGAGACACACTGTTCGCTCCCTCACTATCCATCCTTCAGTTTAAACAGTTTTATACTGCCATCCGGTAGTAAAAAAAAAAAAAGTACTACAAGCAAAAAAACCAACAAAAACATTTCTTCTTAAATTTGACAATAATAGCTATTTTTGTCAAATTTCAAACAATACTATCGTTTATCGCAATAATTTCTGAGACAATTAATCGCCCAGCAAAATTTGTCATCATGACAAGCCTACGCCTTCCCCACTCAGCTTCTCTTCCTTTGTTTTTTCTTTTTCATTTGTTTAATTCTTAGCTCCAATTCAGCATCTTGAAGAAACAACATTTTTTGTTCGTCTGCAGAGCCTCCTCCAGTGATCACAGTTGAAGGGAACGTCACCGTCTCACCTGGCTCGCATGCCGTCCTCACCTGCCACGTTATCAGCACCGTCACATTCAACCTAACCTGGCTGCGAGGAGGCCTCAATGCCCGCCTGAACCCACGGGTGAACATCCTGGCTAATCTTTCACTACATGTGTCAGGTGTGACCCCGGACCACGCCGGCTGGTACGAGTGCATTGCTGCAAATGAAGGAGGCGTGACTGCTGAGCGGCTCTATCTCACAGTACAAGGTGATGAGGATTTATTTACAATATTGTGTTTAATATGAGTCAGATTGTGTTTAGCTTTAAAAAGCAGGACTACTGTGAGCATCTGCACCTGTTTTTTTTTATTTTTAAATTCATGATGTGAATGTGACTTTGTTTCTTTTCTCTGATTTACACCATGGGAGGATTAATATTCTTAGCAAACACACTGCCTTGTTAGATATATGCCTCTGCTCTAGGTGCTCCTTTTGCCCTTTCCCTCCCTTACTTCCTATAACTCACACTAGTGTGAAATGTGTGAAAAATATTTATGCTTGACTCTCAGGCAGCACTTACAGAGTTGTTCTTTTTATCTCTGAAACATACTTCTTGTCTTTTTGACGCCAAATCAGAATAGGTTTTTTTTTTTTCCCCTTTTTGCATAGTTATAAATTACAGTATTTTTCGGATTATAAAGTGCACCAGATTATAAGGCACAATATTAATGAAGGTCTGTTTTCATACATAATGCACATCAGATTATAAGGCACATTAAGCATAACAAGTTCATTTTTACAGATTTTTGAGCGCCGTGTACCACATAAAATCAGTTCGAGGCCAGTAAGCACAACCAGAATTAATACATAAGGTGCACTGGATTATAAGGCTCACTGTCAATTTTTGAGAAAATTAAAGGATTTTAAGAGAGCCTTATAGTCCGAAAAATACGGTACTATAGAACATCTTGGACTGCTAACCTCATCATTAGCAGATTATCTCAGTCAGAATTAGAAAAAAAGCCCTTTCTGAATTATAGAAATTGCACTTTCTGTTGATTCTGCTGATTCAACTGTACAACCAAAAGTATAAGAAGAATAAAATTTAAGCTCAAACTCCCAAAGGTGTTCGGGGGAATCTTGTATTCTAATTTAAAGTTTATAAAACACATTTTTCCTTCTTCTGATTTTAAATTTGGCAAGTTTCTAGTGATTTTCATTTGAAGCAAACAGTCACCTCTCTTTAAGGTAAATCTGTTGACGCGTGTAAAAACTCTAACATTTTCTCATCATTTCATGTCCTCGTCTGTAAGTTTTTTTATTTTTTGAGTGAGTCTGTCACAACTCTCCTTTTTATTCTGTTTTGACCATTTTCCTCCAGAATCTTTACCTCATCCTTTTTCCTGTTTGAAACAGCTGTTTTTTTGGGCTTTGGGCATTTACTAATTACCACCTCAGTCCATACCAAGTGATTAGCCTCTTTTTGAAGTAAGTCAGATCAGCTGGCATGTTGGCCACTTAAACGTAACCTAATGGAACATAATGAGGTCTTTCTGAAATTTGTAGGGTAATTGTCTTTTGTTGTTTGTTTTTAATTTGGTGTTGTTACCTCTTATACAGTGATGCTAGTTATTTATTTGTTTTTTTTATATATATAATAGCAGAAATGTTGAGGTATGCAGAGTAAAAAAAACAACAACCAGAAAGTCTTATCAGCTGGAACATGTGGCCATTTTAATGCTTGTAAATGTGAAGTATGGTCTTATTGATTGACAGTCAATAGAAGAATAGAGACCAGAGTTAGACCGACAGTTTTAGTTTAATTTATTTGACAAATGCAATCTGTTTTGGTATGTAAACAACATTTTCTGAGTCACTCAGACAAATAGGATTAGAGTAAGAGATGACAGAGACGGGGTGAAAAGCAAGAAGCTAATGGATTAGGGAGGGAAGTCGAGGCATGGAGATGATGATGCTTGAGAGGGTGTGAAGATAGATGAGTCGAGTGCAAAAAAGACATGCAGCAGGTAATGAGCAGAGTTGAAATACAAACTATTAGCTTGTTGAGTCAGGCCAGAAGAATGGCTCTCAGAAACTCTGTCTGATCTTAGAGGTGTACCTCGCAGCTAAGACCAGGATAACCTCCAGATAAAGAAAACAGGTTGTTACCAATTGGTTTCTATTTATGTTCTAGTTGTAAGCAGAAATCTCAATGATCTCTCCTAGTTAACATCACAAAAGGTGTACTGCAAGGTTCTGTCTTAGGAACTGCCCTTTTCGAAATTCACATTATTAATGTAGGGCAGAATATTACTGATGCATCTCTTCATGGTTATGCTGGTGACAGAGTTGTTTATTGTCAAGCACTGTTGCTCTGGTTTTTGATGGTGATCCAGTCACATCCGTCTCATTTCAAACTGTTACTAATTGCTGACAAAACTAAAGTTGTATTCAAACAAAAAGAAAATGCCAGCTGTTCTTCCCACTATTAAATCCACCCAAGGTGCATTTGAGTCTTCCTGAATTGTTTTGGCAAATGATGAAATTCTCTTTTAAGTCTCATGTTAAACAATAAAAACAACTTAAATTAAAGATTATTTTACATAGGTATGATTTGATTTACAAATCTTGGCCTTCTGCACATTCATTTATCTTCCTAAATGTCACCTAATCATAGTAGCTACAACATACACTCACTACTTTAACACCATTATTTCACCTTTGGTACATACTGAACTGATAATAAAGGCACTCACTCTGCTTATTCTTTTTGGAATAAACAAGCCTTGCAATTATGCAGCTTAGTTACATTAAATGGTTTTAAACTTATCCTCGGGTAAACAGAAAAATCAGTTTTAAAATGTTTTTAATATTGTACTCAGTTTTATGTTGTACTTTTATGCACTCTGTACTGTTTGCCTGTAACTACATTTTTGTACAGTCACTTGTAAAATGTCTCGCTTGTGCAAAAGAATAAGTGTTTTAAATATATTGCCTGCATAAATATTGGTGAAATAAAATAAATAAGAATGACCAATAGAAAAATCATCGTAAGCATCTTTGACCAGATGCCCTTCACAGTAGATTATTTACATCCTGGACAGATAAGAAACGATGATCTGATGATGATTCTGACAGTGGAAACAAAATGCAGAAAACATAAGCTACTTGTCAAGAATTAATTTTAAGATTCTCTGGATTCCACAGTATTTTCTGTTTTAGCAATAAAGAGGGGTAAAAAACGTGCTGTGACGTAATATTAGATGTTGCAGCAGTCAAAACTCCTGGTGAAAAATGTTTTGTCCCTGTTCCAGCTTGTAACTGGAACTAAATTTATTCAAAGTAAAATTACTTCATGTTATTTTTCCAGTCTTTCTCAAAGTTATGGTCAGCTCCAAAGTCACAGTGCATAACTTTGGTTTTAATCTCACAAATGATCTACTGACACATTGTGATAATAACCAAGCTGATTTTTATCAGCTGAATTAGATAATGGCTTTTAAATTTGATGAATAATTTAAGGATATAATGTTGTTTTTGTGATTCGTCTTTTCCTTCAGAGGTTCCCAGGGTGTCAGTGGAGCCACAGAATCAGAACTTCATGACAGGAGATGATGTGAGGATTCGGTGTTCAGCCATGGGCTATCCTCCACCACTACTAGTTTGGACCCACAATGATATGTTCATCACAGCCTCCAGCAGGTGGATAAACATGTTTTAGACTGGATTATTTTTCTTAAAATAATTTCTTTATAAGAGAAGCTTGCCATGAACTAATGTGGGTGAAATTATTAGTTCACATTAAATAAATGAAGTTGTTCCCTGTGAAACTCAGGACTGTTTAATTTTCAAACAAGGAATGAGTTCTATATTTCCTGAGCTAAATGCATCATGCGTGAGAATTTTGTTTTTGTTTAAATCAGCGTTGTCAAACTCGGTTATAAAAGGGGGCCAAAATTAAAAACTTGGTTCAAACCAAGGGCCAATTTCAATCAATACACAACTTGAGTCAGATACCAGACTTTGTTTTTTTCCTGGTTACAGGTTCATTTGCCGTTCTCTGTTACTGTTTCCACATCAACATGAAAGCTTGCTGAAAAGTTCCAAAAAAAATTATTGGCTTCAGAGTTGTCATGAAAAGACTACTACACTAAATAAAGTACTGGTATGCTAGGTTTGTGAGCACAATGAGAGACAACAAAAGTATTTTTACATTGAAAATGTTATTTTGGGGGCCAGATAAGATGTTTACAAGGGACAGATCTGGCCCTCGGGCCTTAAGTTTGACACACGTGGTTTAGATGGTGTCAATAACAACATGAGATAAGGCAAAACAATAAACAAAGATTTAGATTTGTATCATCCTAATCAACAAAGTTGATTGACATTAAACAAGAAACAAAGACAACAGTAATGTTTTATTATTTTTTTGCTCTAAGAACAGAACAGAGTTTATTTATTTATTTATTTTTTCTACGAACATACTTACTATGACAGAGAAGAAGATTACAGGTTAAATTTTGTTTCTTTGAATTCTGCTACTTTAGTGCTTTGCCTACTGATTTCCGGAAGTTGTTAGCTGTAATAGTTAACAAAATTGTAATAATTAACACAAATTATTAAATAGTAAACAAAAATTAACAGATTACTTGAAGTGTTAATATTTAGTTTAACATTCATTTGAATGCATAAAAATTACTGAAATGTGAACTTAATTTAAGACCAGTCATCCATAGCTACTTTTCCCTGCCTCAATTAAATAAAAGTTCAATAATCATAAAGAAAAAAGCTGAATTGTTGGTTTTGTTTGCATTTTGTAGACACAGGATGGCTCCTGATGGCACTTTGTTTATAAGAAACACGAAGAAGAAGGATAGAGGAGTCTACGCCTGCTTGGCCAGCAACCAGGCAGGAACTGACTCAGCGAGCTCCAGCCTGACCTACATAGGTAAGAATTACATTTATTCCCCTATGTGCATTATTATTATTATTTATTCCCTTTTTGTGTTGCTCTTTTGACATTTTATTTTATTTTTTATTGTCTACTAGAATCTCCTGTAGTGAAAGTAGCATCAATTGAGATTCTCACAAACATCGGAGAGTCCACTGTGATGTCCTGTTCAGCATCTGGGATCCCTCAGCCTGAGATCAGGTGGTACATAGGTATGGCTTAAAAAAGGACTTTAGTAGTCACAGAAAAGTAATTTCAAAATTGAGTTAAAACATAAACCATATAAATTACAAAAAAGGAATCTTTACAGTACATTTTAAGTTCCAATCTGGTTACAGTCCACTGTTATATCTGCTTTGATTGTTAGGGAACACACAGCTCCATTCCTCGTCCCTCCTGGAGGTGGACAGAGTGGGAGGAACTCTTACCATAAAGCAAACCCAGATTGATGATGCAGGAGATTATACCTGCGTAGCTGTTAATGCTGCCGGCACCTCATCAGGGAAGATCTCCCTTGATGTCGGAGGTGAGTTTGACTTGGGATAGTTTCTCCAATGGTTGATAGTGGTTTCCCACCAATGGTGTTCTAAAACGATCTCCCACTTATTCCCAATAATCCTTATGTTTTTCCATAAATATTTGTCCACACTTTCTTACTATGGTCAATATTTGTCTTTTATCTTTATTCTTCTAGCTGTGCCCAAGTTCACCCAAGAGCCATCAGATGTGGCGGTGGACATTGGCTCCAATGTGACCCTGCCCTGTCATGTCCATGGATACCCTGAACCTCAGATCACCTGGAGGAGAGAGGACGGCTCCACTCTTTTCACCAGGCCACGCTTACATGGCAGCATTTCACAGAGGAAAGGAGATCTACATATTATTTGTAAGCTTATTAGCCAGCTGTGCACATAGAAGTTACATAAAGTATACTCCGTTAACATTGCTGTTTCTTGTTGTGTTCAGCTCTTTGGGTGGAGGATGAGGCGGTGTACATCTGTGAGGCACAAAACCGCTTTGGTAGGATCCAAACTCAGGCCAGCATCACTGTAACTGGACTTGGTAAGACCAGTGGATGAAATGTCCATAATATTGTGTTGGAGTTGTGTTTTATAAAAGTTCCCATTATTTTTCAACCTGACACAAATTGTCCATCCTATTTGGGTGCAAAACCTTGATAGGTGCTGAACTGAATCAGAACACTGAGTGATAGTGACTTGGATTTGTTATACTGACTCCTGTCTCAATAGTCTGGAGGGTCCCATGTAAAGGGGGAGCACAAGTGCCTACACCATATTTTCTGTGTCACTGTTCCTTTGCAGTGAAACCACAAAGAGTTCTTAAATGTGGGCCAAACGTTAGAAAGTACAAACACACCCAGATGACATATATTACTCACCCCCACCAACCCCCTTCCCTGCTGGCAACAATTCCTTAAAGGGTAAACACATACAGTACAGATGCGCATGTACAGTTGTTTTATTTGTATAAGGTGTCAGCAAAGGTCAAAGGACAAGTTTACAAGACAGTGGTGAGACCAGCTATGTTGTTTGGTCTGGAGACAGTGGCACTGACAAAAAGACAGGAGAAAAAACTGGAAGTAGCAGAAATGAAGATGTTGAGGTTCTCCTTAGGAGTGACAAGGATGGATAAGATTAGGAGGATCATCAGAGGTACAGCATAGGTTAAACAACTGGGAGATAAAGTTAGAGAGGCCAGACTGAGATGTTTTGGACATGTCTAGAGGAGGGATAGTGGGTATATTGGTAGAAGGATGTTAGAAATGCAGCTGCCAGGAAAAAGACAAAGAGAAGATATATGGATGCAGTTTGAGAGGACATGGAGGTAGTTGGAGTGAGGACAGAGGATGCAAAGGACAGAGTGAGATGGAGAAGGATGACTCGCTGTGGCGATCGCTGAAGAGGGACAAGCAAGAAGAAGAAGACGAAGGACTACATGGGTGTGACTGTCAAAAGATAATTTAGTGTAATATTTGCCTCAATACTAGTTATGTCTGCCGAACATAACAAATGTGACATCTTTATTTTCTGTATTAAACACAGTAATATCTCATCTTGTTTATTGTGTATTTTAATGTTTCTGCACTGTCTCAACAATATCAAAAGTTTAATTTTGTCTCTGCTGACATGAATCAATGTTGCTTTTTAAACCTTCTTTATTTTTTACATCATTTTGTTTAATCTGCAGTTAAACCCATCATTGCAATGAGTCCAGCTGTGCTGAGTGTGGTTGAGGATCAGCAGCTCACGCTTCCATGTGTACTGTTGGCTGGGAATCCTCTTCCTGACAGACGATGGCTGCACAACTACGGCTTGGTGAGAACAGGAAGTTCACAGGTTTTAATGTCTTAAGTCTAAAAAACTTAGACTTACTTTAAATCTATGACTTCTGTCATTGTCCAGGTGACTCCAGACCAATATTTAACAGTGAGGAAGGATGGCAGTCTGCATATCGAGAGAGTTCGTCTTGATGATGATGGCGACTACACCTGTTTGGCTGAGAATGTTTTTGGGGCCACGAACCAAACGACCACTGTCAACGTTTATGGTAGCATAACAGACAGACATTTATATATTCAAAAAATTGAATAAATTTAGTCTTCAAGGGGCACGGTAGCGCAGTTGGTAGAGCTGCTGCCTCTCAGCGAGAAGGATACCAGATCGAATCCCGGCCGGGGACCTTTCTGGGTGGAGTTTGCATGTTCTCTCAGTGCATGCGTGGGTTTTCTCCGGGTACTCCGGTTTCCTCCCACAGACCAAAAACATGTATGTTAGGCTGAGTGGTAGTAACTCTAAATTGTCCCTAGGTGTGAGTGAGAGAGTGAATGGTTGTTCATTTCATATGTCTCTGTGATGGACTGAGACCTGTCCAGGGTGTCCTCCACCTCTCACACAGTGATGACTGGATATGGGCACCAGTGACCCCTGCCACCCAAAAAGGATGAAGCGAATAAAGATGATGGATGGATGGATGGATGGATGGATGGTCTTAAAGGCACATGCAGGAATTTTTTGGACATCATTCTGACTTCTACTTTGCTTTTTTGTTTGTTACAAGTCTAAAAAGGCATATACATATACTGTACTGTGTGTGTATGTACCACTAAACTTACAACTTATTGTGTGCTTGTATATTCAGTGATTCCAACTATTCAACATGGCCCTCAAGTATTCAGCTCAATTGAAGGAACAGCCATAAATCTGCCTTGCCATGCCAGTGGAATACCAAGTCCAGAAATTACTTGGGCAAAGGTCTGTATAAATATCAGGTGCAATTCCTTCAGCATGCCTCAGTTAAATTGTAGCTCCATTGTTTTATGTGGTTGAGGCATTAAAATGATGGATTTATGCAGTCTGGTTGTGCCTTTATGAGCTATTGTCAGCTCGTAAACACCCAGATGTTTCTTTGTTTCATCTACAGAGAGACATGCTCTTGTGCTTTTTCCTTTCTACAGTCAGGACTGCCTTGTCTTGTCGACAGTCAATCTGAGCGATCTTTTTAGGGATAAATGAATGTGTCTGATGCACTAAACCATGAAATCAGCTTTACTTTTGATTGTCAATCCATGTTTTCCTTTTAAAAGTGTATTTTTGTCCATCAAATTAAACTAGAAGCTTTTGTTAATTTGTGGTCGGTTCAGGTTTCTTTTCAGCTTTTTTACACTTTCTTGGAGTTTTAAAAGCCTTCATATTAAGATGAATGGGGCACCAGAGCCATATGAAACATGACCCTGATAAACTCAGCCCCAGCTGTGCAGATGTACCTCTCGTATTTTATTTTTTTTTTTGCTGTGCTTTATAACATTCGTTTTTTTTTTTTTCATTTATATGTTTCATACATTTCACATATGAATCTGTCCTGGCAGACTAACATGTTATTTGATTTTTGTGTTTTGGTTTGTTCGATTATATAATCACAAAATTGTTAATAGCAGCAAAGAGTCAAATCACATATTTAAACACTCTAAAACAATGCGGTGTTAATGCTGTTGACAGAATGGAATAAACTTTAGATCCTGCTCTTATTTCCTGCTATAACTTATGTTTTAGGGTGGGGAGCTCCTGAACCTGGGTGGTCCAGCTTTCTCCTTGGATTCTGATGGCAGCCTCCTCATCACTTCTCCCTCTGGAAAAGAGACGGGAGAGTTTGTCTGCACAGCGACCAACGCAGCTGGCTATGCAGTCAGGAAGGTTCAGCTCACAGTCTACGGTACACTTAGCATCTGCAGTCTGTAGAAAGAAAAGACAACTGATGTATCATTTCAAGTTGCCAATTTAATACTAAATAATAGTTGTAAAACTCTTGTTTGTTTAGTCACATGATTCCTAAAAGCCCAAACAGCTTAGGTTTTATTTTTGCAAATATGATTAAAGTATTGTCTGTTTGCCTTCTCAGTCCGACCCAGATTCAGTGTTGGTGGTACTGGAGGCTCATCAGAGCCTGTAAGGATGTCAGTGATTGAGGAAGAGGATGTTGTTTTGTCTTGTGAGGTCCACAGTGTCCCACCTCCAACCATCAGCTGGGCAAAAGAAAAGCAGCTCATCTCTCCATTTTCTTCCAGGTCAAACATTTTTTTTAAATTCAATTGGGATTCTTAGTTTAGTTTATTTTTATTTATTTATTATTTGAATAGTACAAGAAACTGCAAATAATAATGCTTCAAATTACACATTTTTCTGTGTTGAAAACCCTACTTTGGGTTCAGGATCTTCATAGAAAACCAGTGATCCCAGTTAATTGCTGGATCAACAAATGAACGCTACAGCTCTTCCAGGGAAAAGCCTCAAACCAAACACAAACAGGACGTCTTGTTTTAGGTGCACAATGACAGTGCCAAACCAGATTTTTTTATGCATTACATCAGTACATCTGCTCAGTAAAAAAAAAAAAAAAATCCAGGTGCTAAATAAGTGTCTGCAGTCCAAACATGTGCCTTTAAAACATTTGCTCATTTAAAAAAAGAAAAATAAGACAAACTTAAAATTTGGAAAACCTAAAATAATTAATCTGGAAAAATGGTGAACCTGTCCACAATTTATGTTTTCCTGAGTTCTCAAACTAGAAAGTGCTTTTGAAAAAATAAAAAGTAGTTAGAAACAAACATTCCTCTCTTGAATTAGCTGAAATGTGTTTCTGGCACCAGATGCTTAATTAACAAACACATTTTAAAAGATTATAAAACATTATTTTAGTCTTTGTCAAACAAACACAGCTCTCAAATGAACCATGCTATCTACATTACAGCTCTTTGTCATTCCAGCATGACCTCACAGTACAGTCTGTGGTTTTCTAAGATGTCAAAGTAATCCCTGCTTTTCTCTGTGATCTGGTGCATTTGCAGCATGCCTGCCAAACTAACTGTAATTATGGTTGATGGCAGATTAGTAAGAATTACAGGCATATCTGTTTACAGCAATAACCAAAGGAATAAGTGAGTGGAAACAATTAGTGTTTGACTCAGTTCGTTTTTTTCTTTGTGGCATAATGTGAGGAAAAATATAAGCCGAGCTTTAATGTGAAAGTTAAATTTATTGCTGTTTTTGTACTTGTACAGTGAGACATTGTGTTTTTTTGTCTTCTTCCCAGACATCTGCAGCTTCCCTCTGGGTCTTTGAAGATCATGGCAACCAGAGCCTCTGACAGTGGACTTTATGTTTGCGTTGCCTCCAATATTGCTGGTAACCTGACACAGTTCGTTGACCTGAGTGTTTTAGGTAAGTCCAAATTATCCTACATCTTAAAATTAGTTAACAGTGTGCAGATAGATATGATTTCAAATCCTGTCATAACGTAATATTTAGCTATTTAGCTTCTAACTGGGTATATGATTATTCAGTTTATTGTATTTGTTTTCTGTTTTCATATTGTCCAAAATATATATTCAAGATTCACAGTTAAATAAGTGGAAGAACCAGTTTGAAAATATTTAAAAAATATGCATTTGCATACATTACAGTGATGTCTGGTCTAAATTTCCACACGATGAATAGATCCAAACAAGATGCAGAAAGTTTTATAAAACGTTCTCCTCTATCATCTTTCTTACAGTGCCCCCTAAAATCCAGCCTGGCCCCAGAGTGGTTAAGGTTCAAGTGGGTCACCAGTTGGAGTTAGCGTGTGCTGCGACAGGATTTCCAAAACCGACTCTGACCTGGATTAAAGATGGTAAAATGTACTCTGTGTCACCTGATGGCAGCTTGAAACTGAGGAAAGTCGGACTGGATGATGAAGGGACCTTCACATGCACAGCCACCAACACTGCAGGCAGAGACGAGGCCCAACTTAAAGTTCTAGTACAAGGTTGGTTTTAAGTTTTACTGTATTGGTGACATATTTTGGTTTTGTTTTTTCTTTATTTAATGCTGGAGAGAACCTGTAACCTGAAATAAATGAAACGCCGGTCCAACAGTAGAGCTGAAACTAATATATTTCAACCTACAGTTTGTAGTGTCAGCCCTACTCACTTAGTTACATAAAGGTGATTATCAGTGACAAACCATATTAAATATATTTGTTTTATTATGAAACTCTATATTTTAATCTCAGTTTAAATGAAACTGGCATTTTGTTGAAGAAACACATATCCCACCTGCTACTTTGCATGCCAATATTTCAAATAAAGATCTTGCGCAATAGAAGTGATACTTCGCTACAACACTGAATGTTTGGCTCAGTGTCTGTAAAATTGACTGTTATATCCATTTTTGTGTTAGACAAGGTCAATTAACTGCAGCAGCTATCTTGTATTGGATCAACTCCAAAAATGTAATTAGTTGCAGTAGTTTGGTGGTCAGTGCTGTGGTCTTGTAATCCTGAGGTTGCAGGTTTGAACCCAGGTTTTGTCAAGAAGGGCATCTGTCGTAAATCAAATGACCAAATCTTTCATGTGAATTTGCTTTCTGTGATAGCCCTTGAAGAAGGGAGCAGCTGAAAGAAACTTACTTACTATACTTATATATAATGAATCTAAAACTGTTACAGTAGATATGGTTGTTGGTGTATTCAGAAGTAATTGTATTTGTATTTTACTGTAGTCATTGATTACTTGTATGATGCATTGCTATGTATTCACAGTACCTCCTGTTGTTGAAGTTCTGGAGCCCCCCTTCAACAGCCCCCTGCAGGAGAGAGTTGCAAACCAGCGTATTGCCTTCCCCTGCCCGGCTAAAGGTGCTGTACTATCCCATCAGGCTTTGCTAAAGAATAAAAATTAAAAAACTCATACTGTCCTTTAGTAAAATACTTTTTGATTGATGTCAAAAGTAAATAAAAAAGTACATTTATATATTTTTTTAGGAGTACTTATGCAATCCAGCTTTTCTAATAAATTTTATATTGCTTTTCTATCTGCAATAGTCTTTTGGCCTAAGAAATGCTCTTAGACTCAACTTAATGTTGTCATGGGAATATTTTTCATGATGTCAATTGTATAATTAATACAAATAATAAAGCCTTAATCTCAAATCATCTTACACTCACAATATTTTCTTGTCATTTCCTTTGATATATGTTATCCACTGGTCAGAGAGAAATGTATGAAAGTCTTTTGTTAATGAGCTTTCTCCCTTTTGTCAGGTCTACCCAAGCCAGTGATTCGTTGGTTGCGAAATGGCGAGGAGCTGACGGGTAATGAGCCTGGTGTGTCCATCTTGGAGGATGGCACGCTGCTTATTCTCTCCTCTGTCTCACCTCTGGATGATGGTGAGTACATCTGTACTGCTGCAAATGATGTTGGATCCACTGAGAAAAAGTACCAGCTCAAAGTCAATGGTGAGTAACTTTTTCCTGAAGCCACTTATTGAGACACTGGTGCATTTCTTGTACAATTTGACCTTCCAGCTTATATTTGCAGCTTATTAATGATCACCTTTGCAGTACCCCCAGATTTGCGTGACAATGACACTCCCGGTAACCTATCAGTGGTCCTGGATCAGCCCATCAGCCTGCTGTGTGACGTCACAGGAAGTCCAACCCCTGTCATCACCTGGTATAAAGATGGGAGAACTGTAGGTGTAATTCCAATTAAAAGCAAAAGTGCTGATGTAGTTTTAAATGGTATTTTCCTGTTTTTTATTTTATTTTTTATTTTAAGATACCATTTTGAGGTAATTACAGTACATAGAATAAATAATCCCTACTCACCAATTAACAAACAACCCTTTCCTTTGCATAACTTATTGTTAACCTTTAGCGGGACCTAAAAAAAATTAGATTGCATTATTTGCACATAAATGAAACTGAACATTTTTTTTCCTCACTCGCTCTCGTATGAGGCGGACGCATTCTCTTCCCTCTCCAGTTCTCCTGCTTTTTTGCTCTTTGTCTGTGTATCGGAGCTCCTATTTTACACATCTTCCGAAATAGAAACTACTGTTATGGAACTGACCAAGTGGATTCTTGACACAATCGATAAAATCTTTTCAACAAAACAACAGGGTCCTGGAGAGCCCTTATGTTCCGCTGAGAATCTCAGGAGGACACCGAAAATATATACAATTGGATTTATGATAACAGGTTTCCTGCTTTTTGGAAATCGTCTGGTTCCTGGTCTATCAACATACAAAGAAGACAGCTGCGGCTAATTTGGCCCTCGTCAGGCTGCCTGCTTGTTTGGTTCATGCTTTGAGGACCCAAAATCAGCTGATTTACGAGCTAAACCGTAAGATGGAAGTGATTTGTAAGAATCGCAGGCCACCTGCAGCTTTGGGACTCGCCAGCATGCAACAACCTTAGAGGGGCTCGCAAGCACGGACCAGTAGAATGCACCTTAATCTGGCCATTTTGGATCTTGAACGTACCATTAAGACTCAAGGCTGACAGGAAAATAGTCTGCCTGAAAAAAGTCAACAATTGTGACTTATCTGAATCTGATCCCCTGGATGGCCTCGAAAACAGGCTGACATATCAATTTCTCCTGGGAAATGTGCAAACTAAGGAAAAGCTTTGTCTACTGCCCCCCCACCCAAACTTCTGTGGAGGCTTATCAGAACTGTGCCGGATTACCATCATCTTATCATGGCAATGGACTATCTGGAAGTACTTCATGGACCACCTTGTCGTCAAATGCATATATAACGTGTTCATAAATGTGCTTGCTGACAGAGTTTTTTTGATGTCCTAAATCATGTCCTGATAGGACATGGTGTGAAGAGATCTTTTTTTGTAATGCCACCATCCTCGCCTCATAGCTTTGTCACTTTTTCTATCTAAAAAATGTATTCTGAAAAGGATAAACGGCTGCGCTCTCAAGGAGCAGCAGCTACATGCACTCCGCCCATATTTTGGACGACTGTGCGGACATATTCTCGCTGTATCTCGGTACAATGATAATAAAGCTTATTCTGATTCGGATTCTGATAAAAACTAAAGCAGCTCTGAACAAAGTGCCCCATCCAGGACAACCTAGCCTGGTCCTAGCCTGTTTGGTGCCCTGGGCAAACAATCCTTCCGGCACCCAAAATAAATTGTTTATTAAAAACTTTTGGCTTAGAAAGTTATTAAAAACTTTTCTTTTTATGTACACTTTTGTCAACATTGGATCATTATTTTTGATGTAGTTTAAATTATGAATTGTTTTACAGCAATTGTCAGACAAAATTTCCCAATATTTCATTTGATTTAATGTATTTATGTTAACTGACAGGTGTTTACCAGTAACAGCATCCAGGTTCTGGATTTGGGAAAGACCCTGAAATTACTGAAAGCAGAAAGACCAGATGCAGGCAGCTACAGCTGTAAAGCCTTCAACATTGCAGGAAGCACAGAGAAAAATGTTGTTTTACATGTGCTGGGTAAGTAGAGAACTGAAGCAACACGTAGATATAGATGCAACTGATTTGTAAGAAATGCTCATAATATTTTTGGTAAACTTTCTAATATATATACTGTATATATATATATATATATGTGTGTGTGTGTGTGTTTTGTCTTAGTCCCGCCAACGTTTGTGGGATCTGCCTCTCCTCAGGATGTTTCAGCAATTCTTAAACAAGAGGTCACTTTTGTGTGCAAAGTGGAAGGGTTGCCTTTTCCCACAATTCAATGGTACAAAGACAGAAAGTAAGTGGACTTTGATCTTGAAAAAATTGTTTGAAAAGCTCAACATTTTTAATAGAAATTGCTGTCTCGCTGTCTTATTTTTTGTTCTTCTCTAGGCCAATGTTTCTTGCAGACCCAAATCTGGAAGTCAGCAACCAAGGTCAGTTTTTGAGGATAAAAAGTGCTCGTCTTGGAGATCAGGCTCAGTATCAGTGTAGTGTCACTAATACAGCTGGAAAACAGTCCAAGGATTTCAACCTTAGCGTCTACAGTGAGTGATTATTTAAGCAACCCCTTAACAATTAAGATAATACACATACAGACTATGTTACAAATACCAGCAACATAACTGCCTTATTATTGTCCTTTTGCAGTTCCCCCCTCCATCATAGGAGGCAACTTTACCACAGAGGTGACGGCACTGCTGGACACAATGGTGAAACTGGAGTGTGAAGCTCGTGGAGTGCCTATCCCCACCATCACCTGGTACCGAAAGGGAGATGCAATTTTTTCCAGCCGACGGGCTCAGTATGTAGAACAGGGTCATTACCTGAAGATCCCTCGGGCGCAGGCATCTGACGCCGGTCAGTACACCTGCAAGGTGACCAACGCGGCGGGAAGCACTGAGAAGCGCTATGAGCTGGACGTCTATGGTAAGAGATTTTACTTAACACACATGCCTTTTTTTTATAGTTTTGTTTGTCATATATTTAATCCTATTTTTACCTTTTAAGAGTGTCATTGAGAGAAAACTGTTTATTTTATGAAAGCATCCCTCTTTAGACATGTAAATACATGCACTAATAAAAAAAGATATTCAGAGAGTATTCATTTAAGATCATAAGACAGTAGTGGAAAAACATATTTTAGTTGGGATATTTAAAAAAAAAATTGTGCATGTTAATTTGTTTGTGTCTAAGTTGCGTGACAAAAACTTTTTAAAAACTACTGTAGTTTTATAAAATCATGACTGTTGTTATTGTTTCAAATGGAGTTTTAAGCAAACTTAACAGCTAAACGTAACCCTAAACCATGAGTGTCCAAATGTTTTCATGTGTGGGCCAAAACTATCCAGATGAAAGGACATGTGGGCCACAAAAATATGAATTTAACTCAACAACGTGAACATTTTGGAGAAAGGACAAAAGTTTACTAATTTTGGTGGAGAAAGAATTTTAAATTGTTGTAGATTCAAAACATTAAAAGCCTCATAAACACTAAGCGTATATTTTTTTTTATTAAAAATGATTTAATTTATTTGATTTGTTGGGTCTATATTTGTTGTTTTCTTGTGTTTGGAAAGATCGTTTTAGTCTGTTCTCAACAACAAAAGCGTAATATGAGTAAATATCCTTTTAAAGGGGGGTTGATCATCCTTTTGGACCAGGGACAGCCCAAAAGGATGATCAAAGTGCTAAAAAATCATCCAGCCATGAGTCGCTACAACAGATTCAAAGGTTTGATAAAGTTGACCATCTCATATGTAGATGATACGTTATATTAATTAAAAATGTCCAGTTTCCCTCTTGATTATTTTATCAACTGCAATATTTAGCCGAGTTAACTATGAAGTGAAAACCAAAAGATTATAGCCAAAGGTTTATATTTTGCTTAATATTGCTAATTTAGAGGACTGTTTTTCATCTGTTTTGCTGTTAAACCTAAACATTATATAAAAAGGATTACCAACTAATTTGCAGAAAGTCTGCATCGACCTCATAAGCCTGTTGGCCAAAATGATACCAGTTGTGGGCCACACAAAATCCCTGCAAGGGCCGCAAATGGCCCTCGGGCCACACTTTGGACACCCGTGTCCTAAACCATAAAACATTTACAACATTTCAGATCAGTTTTAAGCTGCTGTGAAAATTTAGCAGACAGCAAAATAAAGTTTTACTGGCCTTGTGATTTTATGCATAAAGTAATTTTGATTATGCTGACATATAAAAAAACATAGAAATGAGATCCATGAAGTTTTGACCATTGCTTTGTTGTCATCTTTTCACAAATTCCCTGCAGTACCTCCAACTATTACTGGAGGGGATGATGGGCCCACTGAGAAGAAAGTGGTCCTCACTAAAAATCTGATCCTGGAGTGTGAGGCAACAGGACACCCTCCACCTTCTCTTACCTGGCTGAAAGATGGATTCCCTGTGCGTCATGGAGATGGTGTTCATGTACTTGAGCAGGGAAGGAAAATAGAAATCCTGTCAGCCGCCATCTCTGACTCAGGACGCTACATCTGCGTGGCTACGAGCATCGCTGGAGAAAAGGAGGTCAAATATGATGTCAGAGTTTTAGGTACAAACATACAAAATGATCTTATTTTGACACAAACAGCACTAAATCATCTTGCAAAGCATTTACTCCCTCCCCTGGTGTGCCGACTGTTATATCGATATTATCAGATTTTATAAAAGCAGTTTATTAGCATTACCCAACATAAGTGTTCTTGATAGTTCCTGTTCCTTTTTAAGTCCTTTAAATCAATACATTGAATGGATATGAGCGCATTTCCTCTGGCCCTGAAACAAATTGCCTTTGCAGCTCAGCATTAATCCTCTGTGAGCAAATGCCAGATAAGTGCTCCCTTTTGCTCTCTGTCAGTTTGTCAGCTAGAAAAACGTTGTCGGCAGGATTCGAACCTGCGCGGGGAGACCCCAATGGATTTCTAGTCCATCGCCTTAACCACTCGGCCACGACAACTCATGTGTAATGTGAAGCGATGTGGTTTGTTTCTGCCGAAGCAGCTCCTGTTACCTCCATGTGTGCATTCTGTGGGAAATGGACATCTGCTACTTCAGTGTGGCCTTTCCGACCTAACACATGAAAAAAACTTAAAATACCGATGTCGGTCAATAACTGAAAGCAGAGAAGAAACCCAAACAGGACTCCAGTCAGCCAACAGGTGAAAAGGAGGAACCCAGACCCAGACCAGTGGTCATTCCATATGTTGAGGGAGTATCAGAGAAACTGAGACGTTTATTTTCTAAACATAACGTCCCAGTGGCTTTTAAACCCCAAAATACATTACGGCAAAGACTGGTTCATCCCAAAGATCCAGTCCCCCGGCACAAACAGAGCAATGTTGTGTATGCTGTTCAGTGTCAGGAGGGCTGTGATCAGTCTTACATCGGGGAAACTAAACAGCCACTGGCCAAAAGGATGGCCCAGCACAGAAGATCAACATCATCAGGCCAGGACTCTGCGGTCTACACTCATCTCCAGGCCAGCGGTCACTCTTTCAGGGATGAAGATGTTCACATCCTGGACAGAGAGGAACGATGGTTTGAGAGAGGAGTAAAGGAGGCCATCTTTGTGAAAAGAAATCGTCCATCGTTAAACAGGGGTGGAGGCCTCCGGGTTCAACTGTCCCCCTCTTACAAATCTGTGATTGCTAGTATCACTCAGCCCTCTGTGAACAGTAAACAGCATCAGTGTGCTAATGATCCATTGTTAGGCTGATGGTCCTTCTTGAGCATGTGATCAGCTGGTTTTGGTTGTCAGCAGCAAAACTGGTTGATCCACTCTGAGAAGGTGCTATTTGAGACTGAGCTGAATACAGCACCTCAGACTGAGGAAGTCTCTCGGATGAGAGACGAAACGTTTCTACATTTTTTTGTTGTTTTGCTTTATTTTGTTTTGTTTTTTGAATGTCCAGAGGACCAGATTTAACTTTTTTGGATTATCCTAAGTGTGGAAGTGTACAGGGTACCCCAAACTTGACTAGTCCTCTAACTCCCACCACAAACCTTATACAAAAAGCACTGCTCCAGATCAGCAACACAGGTGTGCCAAACAGTCATCAGCATGGAGGGGGAAAACAAACAAACAAACAAAAACAAAAAAATAGCACAGGAGAGCTTCCTTTATAGGGCAGTACTGAGTCCTGATTGGTCCTTTCCAACTCCCAAACCAATCCGAGTTCAAACCTCCAAATTGGCACCAGTCTGCATTCTGCACCTAAGCAGACAAACAAGAGGGGAAAAAACACAGTCCTCCAGACATGTAACAGTTTTTACTCCAACCCCTGGTGTGCTGACTGCTATTAATATTATCAGATTTATTTCCACATATTCTAAAAGCAGTTTATTAGCATTACTCAACATAATTGTTTTTGATAGTCCAATGTGGTTTCAAGTCCTTTTTAAGCCCTTTAGATCAATACATGAATGAATATGAGCGCTTTTCCTCTGGCCCTGAAACAAATTGCCTTTGCAGCTCATCATTAATCCTCTGTGAGCAAACGCCAGAGAAGTCAGTTTGTCAGCTAGAAAAACGTTGTCGGCAGGATTCGAACCTGCGCGGGGAGACCCCAATGGATTTCTAGTCCATCGCCTTAACCACTCGGCCACGACAACTCATGTGTAATGTGAAGCGATGTGGTTTGTTTCTGCTGAAGCAGCTCCTGTTACCTCCATGTGTGCATTCTGTGGGAAAAGGACATCTGCTACTTCAGTGTGGCCTTTCCGATCTAACACATGAAAAAAACTTAAAATACTGATGTCGGTCAATAACTGAATACAGAGAATATTGTCTATATTTTTAGTAGTTGTTTTTTGCTAATTACTTATTTTATCTGAATTGTGATGTCACTCCTGCTTCTCGTAGTTCCTCCTGTCATTGAGGGATCTGATGAGGTGACGCTCAGCACAGTTTTAGTCAACAGCCCTTTGGAGCTTGAGTGTCACACCACAGGGACACCTGCACCTGTCATCATGTAAGACGTTTGTCCAATGCATAAACAAACGCACAGACGCACAAAGTCACCATAATTTTTTTTTTCCAGCTGGTATAAGGATGGGAAACCTCTCAGGCAGGGGGAAGGGTTGCGGATTGCAGTGAGCGGGAGACGACTGGTTGTTTCCCGTGCTCAGGTTTCTGACTCAACTCGTTTTCAGTGCGTGGCCACTAATGAAGCAGGAGAACATGAGAAGAACTTCAGTGTTGTCGTACAAGGTAAAAAAAAAAAAAAAATTACTGAGACTAAAGAAAAGATCACAGTAGTTTTACATATGTTTAAGTTTATTGTATCTACTTTAAATCCAAGCTGCATGAAAGCTTCTGCTTTGGATAAATACCTCTCTTTTGCTATTCATTAATGTTTCATTTAAGTTTGTAAAATGGTTTCAAGAAAATAAAATTATTTTAACTCTTGAGTTCCTCCAACCATCCGAGGGACCGGGTCTCCCGAGCGCTCAGTGGTGCTTCAGAAGTCCATCAGTTTGGAGTGCATCTCCAGTGGCATCCCTCCACCCAGCATCACCTGGATTAAAGATGGCCGACCTGTGGACACAACAAAGGAGCACCTCAAGGTTGGTCCTCATTCACTGAGTCTAATTTAAAGTCATAAATTCAGGGTAACCATATGTGCAAGAAAGTTGTCTGCCATGCCCTAAACTGTGTAAGACTTTATTTTAATGAATGTTTCAATGAACAGAACAACATAATAAACAGGATATTACACCGGTTGTTACCAAGTGTCACAGTTTAACAGTGATTTGGTTCATTGGGTCAATTGTTCTTATTATATCAAGTACTTTTACTTTTTTGTTGCAACTTGACATTAATCATAATTTAAAAATCTGTAGAATACTCTCCCAAAAATACATAAAAATTGTTTACTCTAATGTATTACATGTTATAAATGTTTATTATTATTTTCTAGTCATTTGTCAACCCTTTAAGTGTAGTGTTTTAACACTATCATGTAGATTGGAATAAAATTTGTGGGGGATCCAATACTTTTTAGTAACGTAACTACATTCTAAAGCACGAGGAATTTATCTTTTTTTTTTCTAGCTGTAAGCAACACAAACAAAAAGTTTTCCATTTTATTCTCAGTGAAAATCATAAATAGAATATTTTTTTGTGATTTTATGATTGCATTTAAAATTGAAATTGTTGTTTCCTGACAGAATCACTAGATTTTGAGAGCATACTTTTCTGCTCCGATTTAAACTCAGAAGGTATTCACCGCTCTAAAACCTCTTTGTCCTGTCCGTGTCTTCAACCACTGCAGCTGCATTCAGGAGGAAGGACACTAAAGATCACAGAAGCAAGACTGGAGGATTCTGGGAAATACACCTGCCTGGCCACAAATGCAGCTGGTGAAGCCAAACAGCACATCCGACTGAGCGTTCATGGTATAGTCCAGATACTCCACACATTCTCTCTGCATGTCTGTTTCCTGGATTATGGTTTACCTCATCATTCCATTCATCATCTGTGATCAAGAAATAAGGTCAAAATGTGAAAATCTTTTTTAAATTTCGAACTGTTTGTCTCTCAGAGCCTCCCAGCATCTCCTCCTCTGGAGATATCATCAATCGAACCATCCTGTCGGGCTTTTCTAGTCTGTTGGAGTGCAAGGCCACAGGAAGACCTTTACCTGGTGAGAATCAGATTTTCTTAGTTTTACTTTGATCACTGAGCTTTGCAGTATCTTCGATGGGCAACCTAATCTTCTTAATGTACTGTACAAGATATAAAGTTATAAATGGTGAAAATATTGGTGTGGTATTTGGAAGTGAAAATGGAAGCACACTTTTGTAACACCTGTGTGACTCACTCTGATTTGTTAAATTTAGGTATAAAATGTCTCTTTTACAAACGCGCTAATATTATATATTTAACTGAGGCTTTTTTTCAAGGCGATGTAATGGTCTAAGCAAACACTGCACTGCTTTTATATTGCAGCGATCACATGGTACAAAGATGGCCGCCCTCTGGTCAGTGCAGCTGGCCTGTTGATCCTGAAGCGCGGCCAAGTGCTGGAGATTGAACAGGCTCAGACGTCTGACGCTGGAATGTACAGATGTGTAGCCGTCAACCTGGCTGGAGTTGCAGAGATACTTTACAGCCTGCAAGTGTTTGGTGGGTTTGGTTTAAATTAGACAAAGATTTGCTCAATTATGTGTGTAATGGGTCTGATCCACATTACATCCTGCGTCTATTTTCTACAGTACCTCCAGTCATTTCTAGCCGAGGTGGTACAGTTACAGTTGTGGTGAACGAGGCTGCCAAGTTGGAGTGTGAGGCCTCCGGAGTTCCTACGCCCAGTCTGACATGGTTAAAAGATGGCAGCCCTGTGGCAAGCATTTCACATGGCATACAGGTGCCCTATATACTTATTTATTCTCAGATTCATGAGAATTTATTCATTCTCAGATTGCAAATGTGGACCCTGATAGATGTAATTTCTTTATGAGACATTTTACTGAATGCATATCATGTTTATTGATGAGTGTAAATATTTGGACTCTGTTTTCATCTCAGGTGCTGTCTGGTGGCAGAATCTTGTCTCTGACTAGCGCTCAGGTCAGTGACACTGGCAGGTACACTTGTGTGGCAGTGAATGCTGGAGGAGAACAACACAAAGAATACGATCTGAAAGTTTATGGTGAGATAATTATTTCTCAGTTGTTATATATACTTATATAGAAGCAACTTTGCTTTTGAAAAAGCATTTGCACATTGTAAAACTCAACTTTATAGTGTTGTGAGCAACTTTTATTTGCACAAAATCATCACTTATTATACAGTAAGAAAAAAGTGCTTTGAAAAGTTTTACCAGAAGTTCTTCATAGTCAAGTTTTCTGGTTCTTGTTTTAAGAATATTAAAGAATTATAAAAGTTTTTTTTTTTGGCTTGGCTTGCAAACCTTTTTTCATGCATTAATGTACATTTATAAAAATAATTTCATAGTACTCTTTTTATGTATACAAAAGGCACCACTTTCAGGATTAAAGAGCAAATGTGTCCTAATTTTACGATAAGCAATACTGAACATTAATGAATTAAACTCAGTGTAGATTTTAGTTTTAAATTTGCATTTTTAATGGTTGTGCTGTTTTGTTCCTCATAATCAAACTTACACTATATTAAAATAGAGTTAGTAATATTAGAAATATATTTTAGCCAGAAGATTTGATAGTTTTGAGATAGACGTTTTCATTCTGGTGAAAGGTTGCATATTAAAATAATTACATCTGATGAAACCCCTGAACAAGTGTTAATGTTTTAGTTATAAAGTTTTGAATTAGTTTGAATTTCCTGTATAAAGCAAGAAAAAGGGCTTGTTCTCAAAAACAGAAGCAGATTTATTGGTAATTGCGTCTAGTCGCTCCCTGCTTTTGGTCAAATCCGAGCAGAGGGTATGTTTCTTATGCTCCTCACTGACTTAGTCTTTGTTAACCCAAAAAACTTGAGTGCAATGGAAACTGATATGAAAGTACTGCATTTATTAAACCAGACCCAATTTGGCCAAAAAAGGAGGAATTTTGTTTAAACAAATTGCGTGATAAAGTTAGTTCTTGTTTTAGACTTCAGTCATGGGCATACAGAAGGCCATAATTTGCTTTTACTCCATGGCTGTCTGTTATTATTTTGTTTTTTTGTGGGCTCACGGGTTTTTGTAATAAAATATCAATCGACGTATGCTCTATTTATTGTACACAATGGGTAATTAAAGCAACTTTCATTTTTGTTGTCTGGCTAACCCTAAAACATGAACATTTTCTATAGAAATTAGATTTCATGAACTTCAATAAAATTAGGCTGCTCAAATTTATTCTGACTCATAAATCTTGATTTGGATGTATTTCTCAAAGAGTCTCAGATTCCCATCATCACAGATTTAATTTATTCGTGAGATAACCTGAGGAAATGCCTGCACATTAAGATGGCTCTGTGGTATAATATGCACTAAGAATGACTTGTGATGCAAAAAGAGATTCAAACTATTGGCCAACAATCACACTTGAGAGTTTCTCTTTGGTCCATGAGCATTTACTCCAGCACCGAAACATTTTGTTGACCTACACTCATGTCTGACTCAGTGCCCCCGAACATCAAGGGTGAGGAAGTGAATGCTACAGTGATGCTCGGTCTCCTAGTGGAGCTGCACTGCCAGAGCGACGCAGTCCCTCCGCCTGCCCTCTCCTGGCGCAAAGATGGCCGACCTCTCTTTCGGAAACCTGGTCTGACTGTTTCTGCAGATGGTAGTTTAATCAAGGTAGAGTTTAAAAGATAATATATAACATGTAAGAAACAACCTGAACATAGCTCTTTATTAAATTTAACAGACACTTGGGCTTTTGATTTAAGGGCCTTATTACTTAAATTCACTGATTTGTTTTTGAATTGGTAGGTCGACAGCGTTCAGGTGCAGGACTCAGGAAGGTATACTTGTGAAGCTACCAATGTTGCAGGAAAAACAGAGAAGAACTTCAACGTCATTGTTTGGGGTAAGTTTGTGGAGGTTTTTCCACGTGTAATTGTGAGATATGTTAATAAGGAAATACACTTGAGTTAATATAAATGTTACTGTGTAAAAATAAATAGGTCTAAACAGTGTTGGTCTAAAAAAGTGACTGTTTGGCTTTTTCTAAATAATAAATGTTCATGCCGTAGAGCCTCATCAACACTATGATTAAGGCAAGCCATATGCGGATTTATTTGACATCCTTTTATCAAGCATCGTTTTGGACCCTTCATTTCCAGCACTAGTTGCATGATTTGTCAAACAAGTTCAACATTTTAGAGCACAAGCTTAACACTTTTGTCCAACTGGTTGAAACATAAATCTAACTAGTCAGCTGTTTTTAGTAGCCTAAATCTTCTTACTAGTGGACTACTGGAACAGACTAACCAATGACTGTCATACAAGTTAACTCAAATGATGTCTACTAAACTGACTGTCATATATGTGCACTAGTCAACTAGTTCAATTGTTAGGCATTGTAGTGATCTAGTTACAGTACCTTTAAAATGCTCACTAGTCGACTAGTTGACACTTTTTTTGTTGTTGTTACTAGTTGACTACTGTACCTAAAAACGTCAACAAGTGCAACTAAATTTGGTCTTTACATTATCAGATGCATTAGTTAAGCAAATAATTTCGCTTTTAAGGGAAAATTTTGTCAACTATTTGACTAGAATTGTGCATTTTAGACTTTACAAGTGGACTAGTTAAACTTTTGGGTTGTACTATCAGACTAGAGTGTCTAATGTCACTAATTGGCAAAAAAGTAGTACTAGTTAGAATATTTGCTAATTAGTTTAGATTCAATTAGATGAGATTAGATTAGATTAGATTAGATTAATGAAGGGAAATGAAAGCATGCAACTAAATGTGCAACTGGCTACAGTGTATTTGTGAGCTAGTGGGCAGAAATAACACTTGAATCAAGAATAGCAAAAAAATAAATAAAAAATAAAAAATACACGAACAGCTTGCCGTACTCTCAGATTTGGATTATTTTCTTGGATTCAACTTTATTTATCCTCAAATGGCAATTCAGTCCGTCAGTTTCCAGGTCTCCACCCATCTACACATACCGGTACATATGCTCATATACATAAAAACAATAACAAGAACAAAAAAGAAATAAAGACAACATTAAAAGTGTTAAAAAATATGTATTGCATAATAACGGCTCAACAGAGATCAGCATCACACTTCAACCGCCAGCTGCAGGAATATCTCAGAGCTGCATGCTGCCATCGCAGTCGAGCAGCTTGATATGAAATAAATCTGTGCAGGTCTGGAAAAGTGTTCTGCTGCCATTTAGTTTTATTTGAGCGCCTCCACCTCCTTCAGGTATCATACTGTCATTGCAGTTCCTCCTGTTATCCGTGGCGCAGAGGAGGTGTCTCCTCTGACAGTGATTGAAGGAGGTTTCATCACTTTGGTGTGTGAGTCCAGTGGTATTCCGCCTCCCAGCCTTACATGGGTGAAGGACGGTAAGAAACAAGAAGTTACAGTCAGAGCCTGGATTACGTTTGAGCACTTTACATCACGTGTGTTACATGTTTTAGGTCATGACCTGAAGTCAGACCAGCGGCTCAGGGTTTTGTCAGGAGGCCGACAGCTGCAGATTTCCAGTGCTGAGAGAACAGATACTGGCTCCTACACCTGCACAGCCTCCAGCGATAGCGGCACCACCTCTAAGGATTACAGACTGCAGGTTTATGGTATATAAGTCGACAACATCACACATCATCAACATCAAAGTTAGTTTGTTCTTTATATCAAGAAAGATGAGAAAATTACATTGACAAAAATGAAGTGTAAGAAACTCACTAAATATTCCTGCTTTTATAACAGAATAAATCATTTCCATTAAATTAAGTGAGGTGAATAAAAATAAACTTGTTCACTGATGGACTTGACTTCATTTGAACTAAACTTTTAAAATGAGAAGCATCTTTTAGGTTTGTTTTAAACTATTCTATAAAGCATAGACAGCTGAATCTCATATCTTTTTACTTTAAGCATAACACCCCCACATTGTCTACTATGATTATATGGAGTAATATCATTTTGGGAAGATTTAATATGAATTATTTGGAATAAATATTAGCAAAATACTTTTGAGTGAGTTTAATAAAACATTTTGTTTTGTTGCAGTTCGCCCTTCCATCAGACATGGCAAGGATGACACGGATGCTGTTACAGTGACTAAGGGAGGTGATGTGACCCTACGCTGCACTGCAGAGGGCATACCTCGACCTGCAGTCACATGGCTGAAGGATGGACGCCCCATAACAGATCCGCATGGAGCAAAAGTCCTTAATGAGGGGAGTTTGCTGCAGATTAAAGATGCTAAATTATCCGACACAGGGCGGTACACCTGTTTTGCTGTTAATGTGGCAGGACAGTCCGAGAGCAAACACGACATCAATGTACATGGTATGAATTTGAGATCATTTAACAGATTTTTTCAATAATCATCAGTTGTTTTGTTTGAAGTATAATATTTTGTTGTATATTTTCTTGTCACAATCAGTCCCTCCAACTATAACAGGCCTGCTGCAGTTTCCAGAAAATGTAAGTGTTGCGGTGAAGAACCCAGTTGCTCTGAACTGCGAGGCTTCTGGAATCCCTCTTCCTGCTGTCTCCTGGCTGAAGGATGGTCAGCCAGTCAGGACAACTAGTTCGGTTCGCATCCTCTCAGGTCTGGTTGTGTTTTCTTGTCTAGGATTTTATTTGAGGGTGTGAAAGGTTATTCAGTAGCTGTACGTGATGCCAAAGAGTTTTACAGATTGATTTTCATTGTCCTGACCAGCTGAGTGTCAAAGACCATTAAGATGCAATTTATTACTTAGTAATACAGCAGTCCCTTGTTTATTGAGGGGGATCCGTACCTTGAAGATCCACGATAAGTTAAAAATTGTGAAGTAGGAATAGTAGTACAAGTAGTAAGTAGTAGTTTATTTTTATATATATATATAGAGAGAGAGTATAAAGGTGTTTTAAACCCGTCCCACACTCTTGCAATATTCAAAACAATGTTTCTAAACTCTAAACGCTCTAAAAGAGCACAGAATGTCATGATTTCAGCTCCCTGCCTCCTCTGCGCTTTGCCACCTGCAAGCGCTCTTGGCCACGCCCACTTCTCTGCTCTGCACAGTGAACAGCTGATCAGCTGCAGCAGAAAGTTTATTCTGCAGTATGGGCTGCACAAAGGTGCTAAATAATTTAAAATAATTTATTTTAAATAAAAATTCCATGCTGATCGTGCGGCTCTTCCATTAATCAGCCACTTGTGGTCATGTTTAATCTTATTTTGAAAAACCATAATAAAGCGAGTCCGCGATAAACAAACCGCAAAGTAGCGAGGGACTACTGTAGTGTAATATGATCATTAAGAGTAAGGATAAACTCTTTTTATTGGTATTTTATTTGCTTGTTGTCTTTTATCAAGGGTGCCATCAAAAAGGGAAAAGAGTGACATACATTTTGAATCTCCATGAATGTCAAAGTTAATCTGCATGAGCAAATATAAAAGTGGCTAAAACAGAGTCAGTTTCGCAGATACTAAGCTAAAAGTTGGTGTGGTAGTAGCTGACAGTCACCCCATAATAGATACTCATCATCTTTTTTCCAAAGAGAATTTTTCTATTAAATCTTGTAGCCTTAAATCTCATTAAACTTGAATTTTAAAAGTTTTAATAGCAGTCAACCTAAAAGCTCAAATTATTTGTGCTAGATTTATATTGTTTTAGTGCATTGTAAAAACTTTAGCCATGCTTAAGAAACTGTGTGGGTCTTTTTGCTGTGTTTTTTTTTTTTTTTCTGGCAAAGAGTGAGTTCAGCAATTATTTGTTTACGTACCAGGGGGGCGGAGTCTCCGTCTGTTGCATGCAGCAGTGGAGGATGCTGGAAAGTATACTTGTGTTGTCTCTAACAGTGCCGGAGAAGAGAGGAAGAACTTTGACCTGGATATTCTAGGTATAGAAAAAGTCGACGATATTGATAATTTCCAAGTAACTGCAAATCTAGAGCCTTAGCACCATGAAGTTGTTTGTGTTTTTGTTTAACTTGAAGTAAAACTATGAGCAGGTTCATTTATTTTCATTGGCAGTTCCACCGAGGATTGTGGAGGAGGGAACAGTAGTGGACACTAAAGTAAAGGAGAAGCACAACTTGACTCTCACCTGTGAGGCATCAGGTAAACAAACACCATCTTCAGACAGAAAATATCTTCATGAAAGTTAAACAGAAAGTAGTTTTTTTTTTTTTTTTAACTTGGCAACTCTGGTAACTTTTTTGATAATTTTCCAGGTAACCCAGTCCCAGATATTAAATGGCTGAAGGACGGACAACCGTTGGTGTCTGACAAGCACCACCAGATTGTGTCTTATGGTCGTTTTCTCCAAATCTTTGAGGCCCAAGTTGCAGACACAGGGAGGTACAGCTGCATGGCCTCTAACAGTGCAGGAGACCGCAGCAGGCATTACAACCTCAACGTTCTGGGTACAAAAACAACTTCTCTTAATTTACCTGTTTTAGGAATGAACTTATTTTTAAATTTCATCGCTGTCGTTTTCTTCGCCAGTTTCTCCCACCATTGCTGGGTCAGGCCCTGATATTTCTGCAGAGGAAGTTACAGTAACCCTGAGCAGTCCCACCTCTCTGGTGTGTGAAGTCCAGTCCTACCCGCCTGCTCGGGTCACATGGCTCAAAGATGGCACTCCATTTGAATCCACTCGCAGTGTTCGAGTTCTTCCAGGTTCGGCATCAAAACAGCATAAAAATACTTTCAATGTTACATTAGATTATTGTTGATTTAGTATTATATATACAGTATTATAATAATGGGGTGAATAGTGGCACAGAGGTTAAAGAAGGTGGGCCTGTGATCGAAAGGTTGCCGGTTCGACTACCGGGACCGACAGCATCAAAATGTGGGAGGGAAAGGACCCAAAACTGCCTCCACCCTCGCTTGCCCCACCCTCGGCTCCTGAGCAAGGCCATTAACCCCCACCATCTGCTCAACTGGGCGCCCTAAATAGCATCTCTCTGCTCCACACAGAGGGCTGTGGTAGCTCAGTGGTCTGTGGTTGTGTCAGGAAGGGCATCAGGTGTAAAAACAATTGCCAAGTCTTCGTGTTAGTTTGCTGTGGCGACCCCTGAGAAAGGGAGCAGCCAAAAGAAAATTGTTACTTTTATTGAGCATGCATCAGGATATGTTACTTTTATTATTATTGGGGACTGCCACTGCAATGTATAGGAGAGCAGTGCAAGGCAATGCACTTGCTTTGCAAAGCAATGCAGGTAGCTAATTAGCCCGACAGTCTTAAGGTAGCTAATTAGCCTGATCAGATCAAAGATAAGAGTTGATAGCATGAGCATGTTAGCTTAGCATTAGCATCACCTGTTAGCATATGCGATAACATCAGTACCTTGTTACATGAGGTCAGGTGGGGCACCTGTAGAGATTTGGCAGGAAAATAAGCTGTTAGCCTAGCATGCTAATAAAGTTTAAGCTATCTGGATGAAACTCAGATATGTTGATAAACATCAAATGCTGATCAGGATAAGGTAGCTAATTAGCCTGATCAGATCAAAGATACACTCATATTTTGCTAACAAAGACACCATATTTCCCCATAGGAAATGAATAAGAGAACACTTCTCACACTAACTGCTGCTGTTAAGTCACCTGAAGAAAACAGAAACTCACTGTTGGATTTGTTTGAAACTCACAGAACGTAATCATCAGATAAATGTCTAAAACTGATTAACGTTTGGAGCCATTGTGATTCAAGATGGCTGCCACAGCTACTGCAGCAGCCTGGCAGTCCCCATCAAAGTTTCTCCAGGAACTTTCTAGTTGTTATTATTATTATTATTATATCTTCACCTTGGCAGGTGGGCGAACACTGCAGATTCTTAATGCTAAGAAGGAAGATGCAGGGAGGTACACATGTGTGGCTACAAATGAGGCTGGGGAGACGCTAAAGCACTATGAGGTTAAAGTTCATGGTGAGATTCCTGCATCTTCAAGGAAATACCTGTAAACCAATAATATTGTATATATGACCAAAACTTTTTTTGACTGAAGTTCCTCCACAGATCAACAAGAATGATATCCCTGGAGAGGGGCTGGCCCCTAAAGAGGTGAAGATCAAGATTAACAGCACACTCACCCTGGAGTGTGAAGCTCAGGCCTTTCCTGCTCCAGCGCTGCAGTGGTTTAAAGATGGACAGGTCGATTAGGTTGAGTCTTTTCATTTATCTGTAGAGTATTTTGTTTTTTAAAGCCTAACAAAATGTTTTCTACAGATCCTGAGAGCAGATGACCACGTGTCCGTCACAGCCAATGGTCGCATTGTTCAGATCAAGCATGCTCAAGTGTCGGACACCGGCCGCTACACCTGTGTCGCCACTAACATAGCTGGAGCAGATGAGAAGGACTTTGATGTAAATATACAAGGTGAACTGGGTGGACTTATGATTGCGTGTTAACCGGGTTATCTCTGTGCAGATACTACTTTGTACGTCCTTTATGTTAATTCATGAATATGCGTTTTACTGGTTTCAACTGCATAACTGGGAATCACTTCAAAAATCATTAAAGTGGAGGTAATGTTTACATTTTCTCATTTTTTTAAGTTCCACCAAATTTCAGCAGACCTGATGGAGCTGGTGACACCATATCGGTTCCAGGCTTTGGTGGCGATGTTCGGGATGTAATCGTTAACAATCCCATCTCACTGTACTGTGAGACAAATGCTGTTCCCTCTCCAACACTCACCTGGTACAAAGATGGACAACTGCTTGCCTCTAATGACAAAGTTTTAATCCTACCAGGTGGGACAATTCATACAATAAAAGAAACCAAGGCAGAGAATCAGGTTTTAACCGTCCCAGTTGTTTCACTTTCAGGCGGACGAATGTTGCAGATCCCCAGAGCCCAGCTTGAACACTCTGGCAGGTACACTTGTGTGGCCATCAATGAAGCAGGGGAGGACTCTATCTACTATGATGTTAGAGTGCAGAGTGAGTTTGGTTGCACAAATATTAGACAATTATTGCCCTGGTGTGAAGGCATTGTTTTGAATATTGTTGAATTGAGCAATGTTACATGATGTCTTTCTTTATGTCTTTCTCTAGTACCTCCAAGCATACGAGGAACAGACAGTGATGTGCCTGAGGAAGTTATCGTCCTGATCAACAAAACTACCCAATTGGACTGCCATGCAGATGGAAACCCCACCCCTCAGATCACCTGGTTTAAAGATGGACAGCTGATCAATTCTCATGGTCCACATAAAATGTTGTTCAATGGGCGGATGCTTCAGGTAACATTCAGAAAAGGCAGAGGCTTAACAAATATATTAATGCATAAAAACATTTTCAGATTATCCCTTTTTAGTAGTACTAGTAGTAGTTTGGTTATACTAAAAACCAGGTTGAAGCTCAGAGGAGATCGGGCTTTTTCAGTCATGGGCCCTAAACCCTGGAACAATCTGTCCCCCAATATTAGACAGGTCACATCTCTTCTGGTTTTTAAATATCGTTTAAAACTTATTTTCTTGGGCTTTTAACACAGTGCGATTTGATTTAGTATTTTATTGTTCTGTGTTTTTATGTTTTTCTGTAGATGCTTTTAATTACTTTGTAATTTTTTTTTTTCGGTAAATTACTGCCATTGATTTTTATTGTTAAGCACTTTGGTAACTGCTGCTGTTTTTAAATGTGCTTTATAAATAAATGTGACTTGACGCTACAATGTCTTGTTCAACCACCAAACTCCTGTACTTCTACCCAAAAGGACTAACTTAATGAGATTTATAAAAAATCAATCAGAAAAAGGTATGGCTAATATTAGGAGATCTGACACATCTCAAATGTAGAATTAGCCTAATTTGAAATTTGTTTTAATATTTGTGAGTTTAGTTTAAGCTTTTTTAATTGACCAACAAAAATGCTTCTGCAAAAAATGTCAGCATTTTGACGAGACAAGGTTCACTGTAAATTAAATAAAGTTATGGTACAAATTATGACCATAATAAATGTTGATGTTGGTATATTTAGATTTGCTGTATGCAGTATTTTTGTATTATTTGCTTGATAAGTGGTGTTTTCTTGTTAGGTGTTGACTGCACAGGTCTCTGACACAGGACGCTATGTATGTGCGGCTAAAAATGTTGCTGGAAGTGCAGAAAAACATTTTAATCTTAATGTTCATGGTGAGTTATTAGATATTTTGGTTTATTATGTATACTGTCAATTTAATAGGATCTAAACCTGTATTGACTGTTTTCGAGGTAAATGAAAAAACGTGGTTTCTTCTTGTCCTTTTAGTGCCTCCGACCATTGTTGGTGTGAGTCCTGAAAACGTGACAGTAGTGGTGAACAACTTTGTGTCCCTCTCTTGTGAAGCTACTGGTTTCCCTCCTCCCACACTGAGCTGGCTAAATTCCAGGGGCCCCATTCAAGCCAAAACTAATGCTCTCATTGTACCAGGTAATGTCAGAGTCACGTTTAGAAAATTTAACATTTTGCACAAGAAACTGGTACAAATTAAAGAAATATTAAGAGAAAAGACTTAAATGTTGCCACATTGTGAATTAAAAACTGTGTTTGTGTCTTCAGGTGGTCGCACTTTACAGATTCTTAAAGCAAAACTATCTGATGGGGGGAAGTACAGCTGTGTGGCCATCAATGCAGCAGGAGAAGCTTACAAACACATCCATCTAACAGTGTTTGGTCAGTCCACATTTTTACTTTCAGTAAAATTTAGAGTTTGGGTTTTGTTTGGCTTCATGATTTTTAGTTCTTTCCCTAACTTTGCAGTCCCTCCAAGTATTCGAGGCAACAGCAGAGACTCTCCTGTGGAAATGAATGGGCTTGTTGGTAAATCAGTAACCTTGGAGTGTGAATCCAACGCTGTCCCTCCTCCCGTCATCGCCTGGTACAAGAACGGCAGAGCAGTGACAGAATCTGCAAATCTGGAAATTCTGGCAGAAGGGCAGATCCTAAAGATTAAACACTCTGAGGTTGTTTTCCAGTAAAACTAGCATCTGTTTTCTTTGTTTATCAGTCATAATAACTATTCTCCACTTAAATATACACTGCTGCTATTGTCTTTTACTATGTTTTTTTTTTTTTTCTGCAGGTATCTGATACTGGTCAGTTTGTTTGCATGGCATCAAATGTTGCTGGCCAAGTGAACAAGAACTTCTACTTGAACATCCATGGTAGCTGCTTTTTTTAGTCTGTCTATAAAACATCACTAAAACAGATGTTTGTCATTATGCTTGCACATGCTTAATAATATTAAACAGATGTGTTTCTTCAGTTCCCCCCAGTATTGATGGCCCAGCAGAGGAAAATGTTGTGGAAACCATCAGCAATCCAGTTGCTTTCTCATGTGATGCTGCTGGAATTCCTCCCCCCAGCCTCATTTGGCTGAAAAATGGACAGTCCATAGGTAGACCAAGATCAGTATCACTGACTGCCACTGCTGGTGTATTTTGAATAACAGTAATTTCATATTCCCCTTAGAGAACTCAGAGTCTCTGGAGATGCACATCTTCTCAGGAGGAACCAAACTACAGTTTGCACTGTTGCAGCTTTCTGACAGTGGAACATACACATGTGTAGCATCTAACAGGGAGGGAGAAGCGCACAAGAGTTACCACCTCACTATACAAGGTACACGAACATCTTAGAGTCAGATAATCATGGGATAACCCCATTCTAGATAAGCAGTTGAAATAGAAACAATAAATATTATTTTGATTATATTGCACAAACATTTCTACAAGTGTATTGCAGATAATCAGTACTTCTCTCTTAGTCCCACCGAGTATTTCTGGATCAGACATGCCTGGTGAGATGGGCGTACTTGTAAACAAAAGCATCCAGTTGGTCTGTCAAGCTCAGGGAACCCCAACTCCAACCATAAAGTGGTTAAAAGATGGAGAGGCCATCAGCAATGCCGGAATGAAAGGGCTCAGGTACATAAATCTATACATCTCCTGCAATAAAAACAATAAAAATTAAATTAAATTCCTCAGTATGCTAATATGTATAAATACAATAAGGCTCCCCTTATGGCTAATAAATTCTTATGTTATTAATTCCTCTATAAACATTTTATAAATCATTAATAATTGTATAGGATAGGACATAATATTAGCTGTAGATACTTATAATGCAGTGATAAAGTACAATATTATATTAAAAATAGGTTTACAAATGCTTATTGTGCTTACAAGTTAGTAACTTAGTCTGAAATGTTTACTATAACAACTCTAGATGAAATCTATAGGTGAACAGTTTTGGCTCACTATTTGGCGAGAAACTGGTCAGTTTTGTCTCTATCACCCTTAATTAATGCACAATAATCAATTATTAATGATTTATAAAGTGTTTATAGAGGAATTAATAATGTATCTATAAACTATGTATTAGCCATCTATAAGGGGAACCTTATTGTAAAGTGGTATATGAGATATTTCACATTGCGCTATGTGAATGCTATACTTATAAGATAGAAATGTTTTATAAAATTACAGACAGAAAAGGGTAGTTTGTTAAGCTTCTGAATAAAGAGGACATAAAATACTCACATTTATCTAGAAGTTGCCAGAAATGGGTCTTTACCATTACCTAACTATTAAGATGAAATAATAACTGTTTCTGCTTAAAATGATTTTTTCTTATATGGATTTTTTGCTGTTCTGATGTGTAGGGTCAGTCCAAACGGTGACACACTTACTGTGACCCAGGCTGATCCTGCCCACAGTGGCAAGTATACTTGTGTGGCCACCAATGCAGCTGGAGAGGAGGACAGAATATTTAATTTGAATGTGTATGGTGAGTGTAATTCATTTTTAAAACACACTACATGCATTATCCAGCAAAGATCTATTTGTTATAAAATAAACAGACTAGTTATAAAGAGACTTCTCATCTTATTCTCATTTGTTCCCCCAGTTCCTCCGGTCATTCTTGGGAACAGTGAGGCTTTTGAGGATCTGACTGCAGTTCTGGAGAGCTCTGTCAGTATGAAGTGTGCTGCTACAGGATATCCTCTGCCGCAGCTCAACTGGCTGAGGAATGGCCTTCCCCTGCCAGTCTCCTCCAACGTACGACTTCTGTCTGCAGGACAGATGCTCCGGTATGTTAGAGAGCTTAAAAGGATGCTCGTGCACTTTCAAAGGCCTTCTTGTGTTTGAAGTGGTGTGATACTTTTTTATGTTAACCCAAAAAAAACAATCAAGATTAAATTATCACAATGTAGGAGATTATGCTTTTATTTTAACAGTAATTGTTTCTAACTATTTAAAATAAAAATCAAATAGTCTGTTAAATATTTAACAGTGTGGGGCATTGTTCCTTTACATCTGTCAGGATTACACGGATCCAGGTGTCTGACAGTGGAAGCTACACCTGTGTCGCATCAAACAGGGCAGGAGTGGATAACAGACATTATAATCTACAGGTGCAGGGTGAGTTTATGTGTTTTTACAATGAGTATTTTCAGAGTCAAACTAACAGCAAATAGTTATTCAGCTCTTGAACTCTCCCCTTCAGTTCCTCCTGGTCTGGATGGAGCAGGAACTACAGAAGAAGTGACTGTAATCAAAGGAAATGTGGCTTCTTTGCGGTGTATTGCTAATGGGTCCCCATCCCCTAACATATCCTGGCTCACAGATGGCGTGACTTTAGTCCCTGACCGTCATATCAATCTCCTCAACGTGAACACCACTTTACAGTTTAGCTCGGTCCAGGTCAACAACACAGGACGATACACCTGCATGGCAAATAATGACGCTGGTCAAGCTAGCCGTCATTTTAACCTCAAAGTTCTGGGTGAGTTAAAGCAAAAATATAGTTTTAAATCTTCAGTTTATGATTTGTGGTAGAAGGAAAAGTATGTTTGGTTTACATTGTCTTTGTCAGACCCTCCACACATCAAGAGTTCTGGTTCACCAAAAGAAGTATCTGTGGTGGTTAATAATGTCATGGAGCTGGAGTGTGAAGCTACAGGTATCCCGACACCCACTCTGACGTGGCTGAAGGATGGTCGCCCACTCCTAGAGACAAGTGACCAGCACCTCCTCCGTGGAGGAGAGGTGCTTCGTGTAGCCTCAGCACAGGTCAGTCTCTTCCTATTCAAATCCCATTATAATTTCTCATGGTATAACATACCCTAATCATTTTACTAAAAAAAAAACTTTCTCGCTCTCAGCTGGAGAACACAGGCAGGTACAGCTGCTTAGCCAGCAGCCCAGCAGGAGATGATGGCAAAGATTTTTTTGTTCGAGTGCATGGTGAGTAATAAAAATTAGTCTCACGGGATATATATTGTAGCAGAAAAATGTTCCTATTAGTCATCTTCAGCCTTGGTGTTGAAAACTGTATCATGTGTAAAACTTGAACAAAAGAAAAATTCTGGGATTATGATGGATGTGGATGGATGGATGGATGGATGGATGGATGGATGGATGGATGGATGGGGCTTACTGAATCATTATTCAAGGATTCAAGATTCTTTATTTGTCATTCGCACCCCATGTGGTACATGTGGTGGAATGAAATTATGTACACAGGGTCCCAGTTACATCCAACAATAAAACGTAAAAGAAAAACAGCAAAAAGATCTAAGATATGAACCAAGAAAAACATCAACTAAATATACACCAAGCACTAATAGCATAAAAACATTGAACACATTACGTCGAACAGCAGCACAAACATGACTCTGTGTGAGCCGATGAGCACAAATGAACACAGCAACATGGAACAGATCAGCAGCAACATGGAACAGATCAGCAGCAACATGAAACAGATCAGCAGCAACATGAAACAGATCAGCAGCAACATGATGTGATTTTTCACAGTGATTATTCTGGTTAAAGATTCATGAGTCTAACAGCCTCAGGGTAGAAGCTGTTCCTCAGTCTAGTGGTTCTACACTTAATGCTCCTTAACCTCCTTCCTGAAGGGAGCGGGGGGAAAAGTGTGTGTGCTGGGTGAGTGGGGTCCTTCATGATGCAATTGGCCCTCTTCCTGCATCTAGAGGTGTAGATGTCTGTGATGGTAGAGAAACTGACTCCAACAGACTTCTGTGCAGCTTTCACCACTTATTTTCTGTTCAGAGATTTTTGAAAGTTTTCTTGATAGTTAGCCAGTTATTTTTAGTTGTTTTAGCTTCTGTATTATGTCATTCATATCAGCTCATTTCTCTGGTTGGTGCCTCTCTCAGTTCCCCCTAACATCGCGGGAGAAAACACGCCTCAGGATCTGTCAGTCCTGCAGAACAGACAGGTAACTCTGGAGTGCAAGTCTGATGCTGTTCCACCTCCAACTCTGACGTGGCTCAAAGACGGCAAATTGCTGCAGGTCAGTTAATAAACACATTCCTTTATATCAGTATAAAACTGACTCCTGACTTTTATTTTGAAATTATTTGTGTCCCTTTTGTAGACCTCTGCTCGTGTGCGTCTTCTCTCTGATGGCCACTACTTACAGATCAACATGGCAGAGCTCTCTGACAGAGCTCAGTACACCTGTGTGGCGAGTAACGTTGTTGGGAAGACCACACGCCTGTTCAACCTGACTGTTAACGGTACAGTTACAGAACATAAGAGACAAACTAATGTTTTATAGAGTTTAAACGCTATTATTTGGCCATCTTGACTACCGTACTTAATTAAACTGGATTTATCCACAAAAGAGAAAACAACATATCAATATCGACAACTGCTCCCTCAGTACCTCCAGTTATTAAGGACGGCGCCCAGACTGTGTCAGTCCATATCAACAAGCCAGCAGCTCTTGAATGTGCAGTCAGTGGAGTGCCACCACCTCAGATCACCTGGAGGAAAAATGGAGCAATGTTGGCTGAAAACAACCCCAGGTACAACATGTAATATATACTGGGGATATTGCATTTTCTGGGAAAAGTCCGTGTGAATGCTGAGTGCTGAATGATTTTGCTAACAGATTTATTTTATTTTATTAACCTTTATTCAACCAGGCAAATCCCATTGAGATCACTGATCTCTTTTGCAAAGGAGGCTTGGGCCTGAAGGCAGCCTATATGCATGTTTTGAATGAATTATTAAGTGAATTGTTAAAGTTAAGATTAGGAGAACATAGGCTAAAATTAGCAAAATATCAGCTAAAAGATCATATGTGTAAGATAAGAACGGATTAGGTATTCTGAAGTAAATTAAAAATAACAATGCTTTTGAAGGAATTGAATTATTTTCACAGGGCAAAATTATAAATAGTTTAATAATTCTAATATATACAAGTATATGGCACTTTATTCCCAGTTGAGTCAAACATCAATCAGCATCCACACAATTATATCCTTGCCCTAAACTACAATTTTTAATAAACATTTTAAACATTTTCACTATAACAGATTTAGTGTCCTGTGTGGTTTGAACATCTATGCAGGTACAGATTTACAGAGGATGGGTTTTTATACATCCCCTCAGCTCAGGTAACCGACACTGGACGCTACCTGTGTATGGCAACAAATCAGGCTGGTACTCAACGCAAAAAAGTGGATCTGCAAGTATATGGTGGGTGTTCAAGAAACTGAGTTAAGCTAAACAGAAGCATCCAAGAAAGTTCAATCTGGTCCTCTGGACATTCAAAAAAACAAAAAACAAAACAAAGCAAAAAAAATGTAGAAACGTTTCGTCTCTCATCCAAGAGACTTCCTCAGTCTGAGCTGCTGTTTTCAGCTCAGTCTCTTAAATAGCACCTTCTCAGAGTGGATCAGCCAGTTTTGCTGCTGACAACCAAAACCAACTGATCACATGCTCAAGAAGGACCATCAGCCTAACAAAGGATCATTGTTTTTTTGAATGTCCAGAGGACCAGATTGAATTTTCTTGGATTTTTCTACCTGGATTATTGAGCATGCATCAGGATATGCTAAACAGAAGCAGTTTTGCAAAACCATTACATCTGCTTTGTCTCACCTTCCAGTTCCTCCTTCAATCTCTGACAGTCTTACCAATGTGACGGTTTTTGTCAACGTTCAGACCACTTTACCTTGTGAGGCCACCGGCGTTCCCAAACCCACCGTCAGCTGGCAGAAAAATGGTCGATCCATCAATACTGAGCAGAATCAGAATATGTACAGGTTGATTCAGGTTTTCTCACATGCTTTACTAATTATTGGAGCAAATACTGTCTCTAAAAAGACTAAATTGAAGCTTCAAATACATTTTAGTCTACATAAATTAATCCCCACAGCTTGAGAAATTATATGTAAAACATGTTCCAGGTATTTCATTTGAAATAATAACTTTTTTAATCGATTTCAGATTGCTCTCATCAGGCTCCCTGGTGATTATAGCTCCTACAGTGGAGGACACAGCAATGTACAAATGTGTGGTCTCTAACGAGGCTGGGAACGATTCCAGATCAATCCAATTTACTGTCATTGGTGAGAAACACATCTGTTTTTGGGTGATCCTTCTTACTGTGGCTAAGCCTATTATCCAATATTGTATTAATTAATGGCAATATAAATATTTCTATCCCATAAAATAATTGTTCTCGATGTACCTGCCCTTTTAGTTCCTCCGTCCATAGCAGATGAACCATCAGAGATTGCTGTGACCACACTGTCCCCAGTGGTCATTTCTTGTACTGCAACCGGTGTCCCAGAACCCACAATCCACTGGAGCAAAGATGGCCTGAAGCTCCCCAGTGAGGGACAGGGATTCACTATTCTACCAGCAGGTCAGACTATTTAAAATGTTATTGCAAATATTGTTTGAACCTTGGTAAATATGGTTATTTATATTACTTTTTGTTTAATTTCCATTGTTCTTTTCTCAGGACAAATAGAAATTTCCTCGGCTGAGCTTAGTCATGCTGGACGCTACTCATGCACAGCCAAAAACATTGCAGGCTCCGCTCACCACCATGTGCAACTTACAGTGCAAGGTAAAAAATATATATTTTTACAATCATTAAGTCCTGAGATTCCCCGTGACCCAAAATGGAAGAAGCGGGTAAAAGATAATGGATGGATGTCATTTCAGCTTTTATACTGCAATACAGAATTTTTTTTTTTTTTTAAGTGTGCCATAGTTGCTGGGATAGTTATGGGTATGACTCTCAGTATCACCTCGTCCTCATTGCTTCCCTCAGAACCGCCAGTGATTCATTCTCATCCATCCACCCTGGATGTGATCATCAACAGCCCCATCACTCTGCCCTGCAGCGCCACCGGATCACCCAGACCCACCATCACCTGGCAGAAGGAGGGAATCAACATACCCACCACAGGTAGCTATCCTGTCGGTATGTGAAACCATAAAGTGAACTCAAAGTTTGTTTTCTCAGTCATCCAGGTATATAGCAACAAAAAAGGTTGAATCATGTCATCTGGACTTCGTTTTTTTTGTTAAAAAGAAACGTTTCGCCCCTCATCCAAGAGGCTTCGTCAGTCTGAGGCCTAGCCATCTGGTATTACCCAGAAGCCACCCTGACTCTTGTGTTTCAGGGGTATCTGAGGCAGGCTTGAAACACAAGAGTCAGGGTGGCTTCTGGGTAATACCAGATGGCTAGGCCTCAGACTGACGAAGCCTCTTGGATGAGGGGCGAAACGTTTCTTTTTAACAAAAAAAACGAAGTCCAGATGACATGATTCAACCTTTTTTGTTGTTCATAAAGTGAACTGTTATGTCACTGTGTGTTTTGCTTTGCTGCAGGTGGTAGTTTCACAATTCTTCCTAATGGAAGTCTCCAAATCTTCAAGGCATTATTGTCAAATTCTGGGGTGTACATTTGTGTGGCTCAAAACCCTGCCGGCACTGCACTAGGCAAAACTAAACTCCGAGTGCAAGGTAGGCAACACATTGAGATAATGGTTTAAAATAATGTTGGCAGTGAATATATTTACTTTTTGTTTGCATTCTGTCCTGCAGTTCCTCCAGTGATCCGGTCAGAGACTCAGCACTATGTGGCACCTGTGGACTCCTCTGTGACACTTCAGTGCCAAACTGAGGGCTCCCCTCCCCCCCTCATCACATGGCATAAAGACGGGCAGCTATTGAGTGGTGCCGTACAGCAGCGACTTCTCAGCTCAGGATCCCTGCAGCTTGCCTTCGTTCAGCACAGTGATGCTGGACGATACACGTGCATCGCAGCCAACGCAGCCGGCACCGTCAGCTTGAACATGGGCCTCACTGTGCAGAGTAGGTTTTATTAACACAGTAACTAAACCACATCTATTCATCCATTATCTTTACCTGCTTTTGCCTTTTTGGGTTGTGGAGGTCATTGGTGCCCATATCCAGCAGTCACTGTGCGAGAGGTGGGGTACACCAAGGACAGGTCGCAAGTCCATCATAGAAACGCATAGAGACAAACAAGACAAACTTTGTGGTGCCCTGCTGACTTTTTGCTGTTCGTGTTAGGTTGTCCCGAAGCAAATATCATTTAATGACTGATGAGTGTGTGTGAAAATCTCTGTTGATTGTTGTGTGGGGCTTTTGAATTACTTCCATATATAATTATACTTATGTTACGTCCACCAAGAACATAACATATTAAGGAGGACACAGACTCAAAACATAAGGGTTCAAACGTTCAATTTATTAAAAAACAGGCTTCCTGCAGGAAAAAAAAACCTGATGATAAAGAATCCCTCATTTCCGTGTCCACCAGAAATACTTTTTTTAAATTCCATTTTATTTTCACTTCTTATTCTCAATTTGTATGCATCCTTTATGATTGTTTATTGTTGTCTTTATTGTCCACAGTTGTCATCACTCTTTGTTAAAATCAGGTCTCTCTTGTAAATGAGTCCCCGAGGCTCAATGGGATTAACCTGTATAAATAAAGGTTGAATGAACCGCAGTGGGCCAACCCTATACAGGGCTGTCGAAGCCACTGCTGGTACCAGACCAAGACTACAAAAAAAAATAAAAAAAAACAACAACACCTATTGTAAAAGAAAAAGCGAAAACAGGACCCCACCAGGCCAAAGTTACAACAAAAAAAATATAGACAAACGTTAACCAAATTATCATTTTCGACTGAGGAAAAAGCAAGGTGGTAAACAAAACTCAAAAAAAATCCAGGGTGGCCAGAGAGCAGTCAACACAAAATGGGCCAAAAAAGAGAGAGCGTCTGAGAGAGAGGGAGAAGCCTATTAACATGCCACATCTTAAAATAATTTAATGTTAATTAGTTAATCCCAAACCCAAAATGTCCAAAGGACAAATAATAACAATAATGTGCCTCAGACACATAACAACATATACATAAAAAAAAAGTTTTAAAAATAAAAGAAAATAAAGTCGAGGTAAAACTAACATTTTGGAAGTATATTTAAAATGTTTTTTTAATCTTTGCCTACTGTTTTAGTTCCTCCCTCTGTGCGTGGTGGAGACCAGGACGTTGTGGTTGTGGAAAACAGTCATGCCCAGCTGATGTGTGTGGCAGAGGGCATCCCTCAACCCAAACTGTCCTGGGAAAAAAATGGGAATTTTATCAGTGAAAGTACAGGGGAGTACACGATTCTGCCGTCTGGGGAGCTGGTTATTGACAGCGCTCAGGTATGACATGAAACAGGGTGATACCTATCTGCATGCTACTGTCTAATGTTTTTGAGTTAGCTCAACTCTGTACTTCTATCCAACAACTAAAAATAAATTCCTCAAGATAAACTTTTTTATGCTTAAAAATATTCTCTCTGCACCAGCCTGATGATGCTGGAAGTTATACCTGTGTGGCAACTAATTCAGTGGGGCAGGACAGCCGGACGTTGACGCTGGCAGTTCATACTCACCCCATCTTCACTGAGCTGCTCGGGGATGTCGCCCTCAACAAGGGAGAGCGACTCATGCTGGTTTGTGGCGCAAGCGGCATCCCACTACCCAGAATCACATGGACCGTCAACAATAAAATCATCCCAGGTTTTACTGGTTAAAAACTAGAAAGATGATTGGAAACATTACTGGGTGTTTTTCTTCTCTGACAGTTAAATCTTGTGTTTTTACATCTCCTATAGTCCATTATGATCATATGAATGGTCACAGTGAGCTTGTGATTGAGAGAGTGACCAAAGATGACTCTGGTACCTACGCCTGTTTGGCAGAAAACAGTGTGGGAACCATTAAATCACTGGGTTTTGTCTATGTTAAAGGTAAGAACAACACTCACATGAAGCGATCTGTTTTATCTCACAATTGCTTCCGCCAATAGCACACCCATGTGCTCTCCAGAGCCTCCAATCATTGATGGGGACCTTCACGCCAACCGAATCGAACCTCTGGGTGGTAACGCCATCCTGAGCTGCGAGGTACGAGGAGACCCGCCGCCAACCATCCAGTGGAGCAAAAATGGGATAAACATCCAGATCAGCAACCGAATCCGCCAACTTGACAATGGCTCTCTGGCCATCTATGGCACAGTGGTAGGAAAAACATTAGACTAAAGCATTTATTGGGTCACATTGGTAAATGACGATAAAATAATAATTAAAAAAAAAAACTTTTGCATGTAATTTAAAATTAAGGATATTTTGTGCTCCAACAAATACATTGTTTATGACAGAGTGAAGATGCGGGCAGTTACATGTGTGTAGCGACAAATGATGCTGGGGTGGTGGAAAGAAGTGTCACCCTAACACTGCAGAGTGAGTGTCAACCCACTTGACTAAATAAGACAATACAATATAAATGGATGTAATACAGTATAAGTGTGTGTGTACACTACTACTTACTACTTGTACTAATATTCCTACTTTGCGGTCTTTTACTTATCGCAGGGCTTCAGGATACAGATCCCCCGCGATAAACGATGGACTACTGTAGTAGTTTATACGTGAAGAAAGGCGAAATAAGTTTTCGTGAGTGCTTAGTTTAATATAAATATTGTTTTCTATCAGGTGCACCCACTATAACCGTGGAGCCAGTTGCAACAGTGGTGGACGCTGGCACAACTATTGTACTAAATTGTCAGGCAGAGGGGGAACCAACACCTACAATAAAGTGGTCTCGACAAGGACGTCCCCTACTGGTAAACGATCGCTTCTCCACCTTGTCCAACAGTTCTCTCAGGATCCTCAGCGCCCAGAAAGAGGACACGGCTGAATATGAATGTGCAGCCGGAAACTTGCTTGGATCCATGCTGGTCAGGGCCACTCTCACTGTGCAAGGTAAGCTGCAGTCTGATCAGTTTTTATGGTCTCTGACATCTGTTTATTCCTGTAAAACACTTGCTTATATTTAATTTATTGAAAGCTTGCAATAATTCCTGTTAACTTCAGGTTTTAAACAGCACTAGAGACAACAAACTTGTTCAGAGAGTGATTTGTTTTGCAGTCCATGGAGGATACTCAGAGTGGGTAGAGTGGGGCCTCTGCAGTGTTTCCTGTGGTGCTGGCATCCAGAAAAGGCTGAGGCACTGTAACAATCCTTTACCTGCCAATGGTGGCCGTCACTGTACAGGAGTTGACACAGAGACACGTATTTGTCAGGGGAAACCATGCCCAGGTGAGAGGACTTCAAATAAACCAAGTTAGAATATTCATCCCTGCCGCTCCATGCTTGTAAATGGGTCTGTGTGCAGAAGAATAAACTGTAAAACTGAACTTTGCACTCTTTACCATGTACAGTGGAAGGTAACTGGTCAGAATGGTCTCCTTGGGAGGAGTGCTCACAAACCTGTGGCCAGGGCAACAGAACAAGGATCCGGACATGCAGTGATCCACCAGCTCAACATGGAGGCAGGTCATGTGAGGGAAAGGCAGTGGAAGTCATCATGTGCAGTGTCAGGCCATGTCCAGGTGAGAAATACATTTTATGCTACAAGTGTAAAGGAATATTCATGTTCAAGAAATACTTCAAGGGCGTGGCACAGTGGCGCAGTTGGTAGTGTCTGTGCTTCTCATTAAGAAGTTTGCAGACTCAAATCCTGGCTGGGTATCTTTCTGGGTGGAGTTTGCATGTTTTCTCCGTGCATGCATGGGTTTTCTCCGGGTACTCAGGTTTCCTTCACAGTCCAAAAACATGAATGTGAGACTGATTGGTATCCTCAACATATATATCTATTTGAATTGATGAAAAAAAAATACCTCTAAGTTGCAAGTTTTACATCACATTTTCTGTTTCTCACAGTTGCAGGTAAATGGGGGTCTTGGCTACCTTGGAGTCCCTGCAGTGAAACCTGTGGTAAAGGCATACAGTCCAGGATCCGACTATGCAACCACCCCCCTCCAGCTTTTGATGGGCTGCAGTGTGAGGGAACAGACACACAGACACAAGTGTGCAAGGAGAGACTTTGTCCAGGTAAAATTTTGTTTTAACAAAATGCCACCTTTATGTTAGTTAAAGTAATATTAGAGGCAAATTGGATGGCATCTATACATTTTGCTCATGTCCTCTAGTGGATGGAAAGTGGTCATCGTGGATTAGCTGGGGGGCCTGCAGTGTTTCATGCGGGGGTGGAACCAGACAGCGAACACGTCTCTGTGCCAGCCCCGCTCCTCAACATGGTGGCAGACAGTGTGAGGGGAACGATGTGCATACTGATTTCTGTAACAGTGATCCATGTCCAAGTAAGTTTTTAATGAACTCCATATTTTTATACAAATGAAACATTTTTGTCTTTTATCCTTTTTTTTCTACCTTTGATGATATCTTGACTCTTGTGAATTTAACACTTTTCTCCACTTTGTCAGTCAGTGGTAACTGGGGTCCATGGAGCAGCTGGGGCAGCTGCAGCAAAACATGTAACGGAGGTCAGACAAGGCGTTACAGGACCTGTGACAACCCCAGGCCAGCTCATGGGGGGAGAGCTTGTGCCGGTGCTGATGTGCAGATTCAGAGATGCAGCTCTGCCAACTGCCCCGGTTAGTAGTTGATCAGGTGTATATCCAAGTACTTGAAGAGCTAATAAATGCGGTAGTTTTGTGGTTTATTACTGCAGTTCATGGAAGCTGGGGCTCGTGGCAGCCATGGGGAGACTGCTCCTCTTCATGTGGAGGCGGAGAGAAGACACGTGTCCGACTGTGTAACAGTCCATCTCCCAGAGATGGTGGTCGACCGTGTCCAGGAGACTCCACCCAGCTGTCCAGGTGCAACACACAGGCATGTCCAGGTATGATACTTTGTAAAAATATAAGAATCTGACACAATTCAGAGGGTCAGGATCTGGGAATGGAAATCTCGATATTGTTTGCTCAGAGTCTTTTAGAGATGCACCTACGGTAATTTATACTATAATACTCCAAAGTTTGTGCTAGCAACCTATATATTGTGTATTTTTTCCACTGGATTAAAACAATTTTAGGTGAGTCAAAATACATGTATCATTATGTTAGATCAGTCGTTTTTATATGCTTTAAACTAAAAACTGTGATATCCACATTGTATGTTTTGCATCAAGTCCTACCTTTTGTTCTTTCAATTGTCTCATTGAAGCGCTTTCACTTTTGATTATCTTCTTCTATGAACAGCTTTTTGTACATATTCTCCAGACACGTTTCTGGATCTATGTTTTTGGTTCTGTACACACATGCATTTTCACACTTAAGCACTTTTACTATTTGTCAGGTGGGCCACAGAGGGCTCGAGGAACCATTACAGGAAACATCAACGATATTGAGTTTGGCTTCGCCCTCCTTAATGCCACCATCACTGACACTGAGTCTGGCAGCAGAATCATAAAAGCTACCATTTCAAATGTACCAAGGACATTGGGTAGGTTTTTCTAACCGTTTCATATGTGCTACCTCCTCTGCATAAGTGAACGATTCTTTTTCATTTTGATTGGAAAACTAAATGTAGGACTTTTGAATTTAAGGTCCTGCAATGAGGAAACTCATCTCCATCTTGAACCCCATTTATTGGACCACTGCACATGAAGTAGGAGATGCTGTCAATGGTTACACCCTAACAGGAGGTCTCTTCAGACGAGAGACTCAAGTGGAGTTTGCCTCAGGTATAAATACTCATAGGCAGCCTTTCATGTGGCAAAATGTTTCAATATTTCACATAAAGGCAGTAGATTTAATGGAACTGAACTCTGGCAGGTGAAATCCTGAAGATGACTCATATTGCGAGGGGTCTGGACTCTGATGGGGTGTTGCTCCTGGACATTGTGGTGAATGGTCACATCCTCCAGCTGCCTTCACATGTTGACATCAACATAAAGGTATAAAAACATTAAAAAATGTTGTTGGGGGTGGCTGTGGCTGAGTGGCTAGAGCAGTCATAATCCAATGCAAGAGCTGGGGGTTCGAATCCACCAGTAGTCACATGCCAAAGTGTCCCTGGGCAAGACACTGAACCCCTCATTGCCTCTGATGTGTGTCCCATTGGTGTATGACTGTGATCTAAAAGCACCAATTAGTCTCTTTTAGAATGATTTGTTCAATTAGCTTTGTAGCGATAGAGTGCTGTACGAATGGGTAAATGAGGGCACAGATAATAATAATAATGATAATAATAATGATAATGATAGTGTATGTATTGCCATCATTGTATGTTCCCATATAATAGCGAAATTTGCTCTCTGCATTTAACCCATCCACCACCAGGTGGAGCAGTGGGCAGCTTTTGAAATGAGATTGTAGTGTAAAGCGCTTTGAGTATCTCGATAAGATATAAAGGCGCTATATAAGTACAGTTCATTTACTATTTACCATTTAACTTAATACTTATGTATACTCCGTGTCTATTTTTTACTCTTTAAATAATAATAAAAATGTTCAACTTAAGTGACTCCACATTCTTTAGCTGCTTCACAACCAAAATTAATTCTCTCTGGTATTTATTGTTTTCCCTGCATTGACATCTAGAGTCTTGCATTTATAAAAATAAATTTAAAAAATGGTAAATCATTGGTGTACTTTGCTTAACTGGTCAAACAGCATCCCCGTGTGTTATTCCAGGACTACACTGAGGATTACATCCAGACTGGACCGGGCCAGCTGTACGCTCTGTCCACTCGTATGTTCACCATCAACGAGGAGACTGTGCCATACTCTTGGAACCATTCCATCTCTTATGATCAGACGCGAGGAAAGATGCCCTACCTGGTAGAAACGCTCCATGCTACAGCCATCAGTGCTCTCTATCGCCAACTGGAGGAAGTGTTGGAGTACAGCATCCAAGCTAGGATCACTAAAGGTAGGTTTTAACGTTTGAATGTTTAAAATCTCAGTGTGACTAAACTGAACTAAAATGCTAGATTGAAGGTGTTTTCTATGTGATTCCAGGTGATCGTAGTAACCAGTGTCCTCATGGCTTCAGTTTGGTGTCCGCTGGGCCTTACTGTGCTGGTAAATCATAATTGACGTCATGGTTTTTATTTCATAAAACCTCTAAATACAGTCAGTATCACTTTAAAATGTGGGGAAATGTTTTTTTTAAATACCTTTTATTTTTGGTATACATCTTAATGCAGATGATAATGAATGTGAAGTCAGGAACCCATGTTCTCACATTTGCCACAACGCCATGGGCACCTACTACTGCTCCTGTCCACAAGGACTCACTATCTCAGCCGATGGCAGGACCTGCCAAGGTACAAAACATACCAAAAAAAAAGCACTGCAAATTAAATTCATCCATCAATGTTCTGTTCTTTCACGGCTCTCTTCTGTTTTAGACATCGATGAGTGTTCACTGGGTGGGACTGTGTGCCATGGTGGGCAAGACTGTGAAAACACCATCGGCTCCTACAGATGTGTGATGCGCTGTGGTCACGGCTTCAGGAGAACTGCTGACGGTCTCAGCTGCACTGGTACATCAACTGATAACTGCAACTAATACCTAATTAGGTCAAGTTACATAAAACTAATGGTGATTTTGTTGTTGTTGTTTAGATGTGGACGAATGTCAGGAGTCCCATCCATGTGACCAACATTGTTCAAATACCATAGGAAGTTATCGATGTGCCTGTGATCCTGGCTTTCACTTCAGGAACAGACGATGTTTAGGTATGACTGTCCATCACAAAAAAATGAATACAAACTGTGACTTTAAGGGCCCTTTAGGGTCAAAAATGCAATATTATGTCCTTGTGGAACTCCATGAAAAATGATTCTGGTTATTAATTAGAAGCAATTCTTTACATCTAGAGGCAGCGTACTTCTTCCTCTTCCTTACTGTCTGTCATGTACTAACACATTTACAGCCCAGAGCTACAGTAAGTAACAAAACCCTACAAAGTTAGTAAAGTTATTTCTCTTGTACACTTACACTTAAAGTTATTTCTGTTTCTTGTTTTTTCAATCTCAGATATAAACGAGTGCAAGCAGAGGGTTTGCCGCTCCGATCAGCAGTGCAAAAACACGCGGGGTGGTTATACGTGCATCGACCTGTGTCCGAATGGTATGACCAAAGGTGGGAATGGCACATGTGTAGGTGAGTGTCCAGCAGCTCAGAGCAAAGGAGCATTATCTGATGAGCGATAGAGATGAAGTTTAATGTTTAGATTTCAAGCTGTTGATCTCAGTTGGTTGTTTGCGTCCTGCCGTAGACATCGATGAATGCAGAGACGGCACCCATCGGTGCAGATACAACCAGATCTGTGAGAATACCAGAGGCAGCTACCACTGTTCGTGTCCTCGGGGCTTTAGGTCTCAGGGAGTAGGGCGCCCCTGTGTCGGTACGTATAACCCTTTGGTTTCTCTGCTGTCCATAATACCAACAGATACAGAAAATAAGAAAATTATCTAGTATTTACACTGTGCTGAGTTTTATTAGCAAAACATATTTGTGTAACATTTGTGTTTTGCTCCTGCACTTTAATCTGCTTGCTTGCTTCAGTATTTTTTTATTAGGGGATTCAAAATGCTGTCATGTAATGCAGAGCCTGTCGCTGCATGCTTACACAATTATGTGACGCAATGAAAATTGCTGAAGTCTTTACATTTAAATAACAGCATCTTTTTCCAGATATGAAATGCAACCTTTAAAACAAAACACGCTGCTGTATCTGCTTGTCATTAATGCTTATAAACTGATAGAAAAAGATTTAACAAGGGGCGGAAAATGTTTATTTGCTTCTTTAATCGCACAAAATTGGAATTTTTGGCTTGTGTTTGTGTTGAGTTGCAATCAATTTTTTATGCTTGTTTGTGCGTTCCTTCTACACATTTCCTATCTTTCACCAATACCTGATTGTTGCCTTTTTTATACTTCTGGCAGCAGCAGTCACAGCTTCGTTCTCGTTGCCACTTTTCTTTTCCTGCACACAAAAGTCATAATGAATTATTTGGATGAATAAAAATAAATGTTTAATAAAATTCGGTTTGCTACTTTGCTGGAAACACCTGAAAGTTGGAAGATATGTGATAAAAAAAAAAAAAAGTTCTCATTATTGATTCACACAAAGGTTTTGTCTCAAATCAAAGTAAAAGAGAAACCGTATGGTTGCACGGTTAATGTCAACTGCTTGTTTAATTTTTATGATTTTTATTTACATTTTATGGTGCCTTTTATTTATATTTTGTTTACTTATCATCTCTAAAAAGAGCTAATTGTTCATTTTTCTCCTGAGTTCTGGCAGAAGATCTTATTTGTTACAAAGACCTTAAAACGGATCCAAAAAATGACCAGCACCACTTCCTCCCAGCTCTATCCGTCTTTGTTTGTTAACTCTTTCTTTCAATTCCGACTTTTCAAATCGTTGCCGCCACTTTTGTGTTTGGACATGGCTATTTCCTGGTATTGCTTTATATTGTCCTATCTTGTGGCATTAACACTGAGCGCTGATGTTTGTTTTTTTATCTATAAAAATTGGGTTTTTAGTTCAAAGATAGTGTCTGATGTTACTTTTAGGATAAAATCTATATAGATGTAGTTTTTTTTAGAAAAGTAAAAACTCTCTTACTCGAGTAACTTACAGTCTGTGCATTGTCTCAATACATTTCTCTCAGAAATATGGAAATGTATTGTCGTACAGTGGGGTCATTGACGCAATCCCTTTTCCTCCTCTCATTCTCCTCTTCCTCTTACATTTTCTTTCTCACTCCGTCCTTTTCAACTGTTCCTGGTGCTGGTCTTTCTTTGTACTGAGGGCAGACATAAATGAGTGTGAGTGGCTTCCACAGCCCTGTGCCCACCAGTGCATCAACACACCTGGCAGCTTCAAGTGCACCTGCCCCCCAGGGCGCCACCTGCTGGGAGATGGCAAGTCCTGCGCTGGGCTCGAGCGTCTGCCCAGCTACGAAAGTTATTCGTACGGCTATCGAACATCTCAGTCCTCCACTGAACAGAGCCCGAACCAACGGTTGTACCACAGTTTGGCTTCTCACAGCTACCACTCCTACACAGCCGCCTCCAGAGGGCACTACAGAAGCCGCAGAGAGGCTCACAAACGCTCCTCAGAGCCAAAAGTGCTTGCATGTGAGGAGGGTTTTGAACCCAGAGGTGACAACTGCTTAGGTAACTATGAAGGTCAGGCTGAGAAGATGAAGAGGATGAGCTGTAGAGGAACTGCAACAACTTTTTGCTCAAGTTTGACTGATAAGACCACTTTAAGGAATTGTCTCCTGACTTCTGGTTATGACCAACAGATATCAATGAATGTGAAGTGAGGGACACCTGTCAGCACGAGTGCGTGAACACACCAGGAAGCCACAGGTGTTTCTGTCCTGCTGGGTACAACCTGATGGCTAATGGCAAGACGTGTCAAGGTGAGACATTAATTCATAGGACTTTGCATTTGATGAACAATCAGCTAGTGGTTCGGACAGGGACGTGACCTGTTCTCGCGGTGATAAGATGTTTGATATACCTACAGACATAGACGAGTGTCTGGTTCAGAACATCCAATGTGGAGTGAATCGAGTGTGCTTCAACACGAGAGGAAGTTACCAGTGCATTGACACTCCTTGTCCGCCAAACTACCAGAGAGATCCAGCCACAGGGTAAATAAGACCAGGGTGGACATGGGTTGAATTTGTTTTATTGTCTTGGTAGGAATTAAAACTGATCAGTTTGTGGAGCATCTTAAAGTCAAAGCCAGGCCTAAACCAGAGCAGGTGCTTAAACAAAGCTTTTGGTTTTCAACCTGTAGGTTCTGCTTGAAGCACTGCCCTCCGAATGACCTGGAGTGTGCGTTGAGTCCATATGCGCTGGAGTACAAGCTGCTGTCTGTTCCCTTCGGCATCGCAGCCAACCAGGACCTTGTCAGGCTGGTGACCTACACGCAGGACGGCGTGATTCACCCCAGGACCACCTTCCTATTGGTGGACGAGGACGCCACGTTACCCTTTGGCCTACGAGATCAGAACATGAAGGGAGTTCTATTCACCACAAAGCCGCTACGAGAGCCCCACACGTACCGGATCAAGGTCCGAGCCGTCTTTTACAGCGAGGACGGAGGCATCGAGTACCAAACAACCTTCATCGTTTACATCGCTGTCTCTGCCTACCCTTACTGAGAGCACTTTAAATGACTTGAGATGAATGGGCGGTGATCAATTGACTTGCAGCTCCCCACGGTGGGACGAACATGGTGCCAATGAGAGGTTGATGGTTTTGGACAAGTTTACAGAATAATGAGTGTGTGGGAGGCCAGTGAAGGCGCACAGTCCTAAAAACTTTGATAAGTTAAATTACCAAAGAGGCTGCTGGAGGAAACATGGATCAAAATTATACTTTATTGTCTCTAATCTTTGTTACACCGTCAGGACTTTTTATGTTTTCATGTTCCCATTGTATTTATAAAATCAATACAAATCAATTCTTCACATGCCTCCATCAGCGAGTCGATTTCAGCTGTTCTTCCCTTTTTGTGTATTTCCATTTACTTGTTAACTTATTGGGAAGTGCTTGAAATGGAAAACGAGCTGACCACCTTTGGTTAGCACTTTTCAAACACGGTGATCGTTTTGGAGAAATAAAATCTGTTTTATGTTCCGCGTCAAACCGTATCAGCTGCGATTCAACTTCACTTCTTCATCCTGTAGTGCATATCAAGATGTATTTTATTATGACTTGTACATTACGTTTTTCTCTTATTGTGATACTTGTAATTATTGGATCCATTTTGTAATAAAAATTTAATAAAACTGCACTAAAATAGGCATGTATGTCTGCATTACTACTGGATGAAAGAGCCCCAGTCTTCAGTTACTGCTGAAAGTGACACTTTGTAGGATTTAGTGCCCTCTAGTGGCGAAGCTGATTAATACAATTTGTCAATTGAGGTCCACATGAGAATTAAAGGAGCTAATTCAGGAAAAATGAACATAAAGTACAAAAATAAACACAATTTTTGTAAACTACTTGAAGTGTATACAAATAAATTGCTAAGTGACCAGCTGATAAATAACAGAATGGGTCCTGAGTTCAATTCATGTTGACAACATTTTTCCATCCATCTATTATCTTTACCCACTTCTTCCGTTTTGTGTCATGGGGGTCACTAATGCCTATATCCATCTATCAGTGTGCGAGAGGTGGGGGACACCCTGGACAGGTTGCAAGTCCATCACAGGGACACATAGAGACAAACAAACATTCACTCTCACATTCACTCCTAGGGACAATTTAGAGTTACCAATCAGTCTAACATGCATGTTTTTGATCTGGGGGGTGGACCGGAGTACCCAGAGAAAAAACACACATGCACGGAGAGAACATGCAAATTCCACCCAGAATAATGGTTAATCAGTTCATCTGGACATTTGTGGAAAGATGTTTCGCCCTCTATCCAGAGGGCGTCATCAGTCTGAGGAGTCCCAAGTAAACTGTGTTTCCTTTCCCACTAAGCAGTACACATCTTTAGTGGACCAACCAGTTTACTGGTGATAAGATGGTTTCTGGGGTCTGCCCTGTCCCATGTCAGCTCTTCCCAGGCAGGCAGCCACAGCCAAAGTGTTTCAAGACATCAAAGTTCATGCTCAGTCATCCAGGTACAAAGTCCAATAATGGTCAGTCATTTCATCTGGACAGTTTCTTTTTTGTGGAAAGACGTTTCGTCCTCTATCCAAAAGGCTTCATCAGTCCGAGGAGTCGACGGGGGACAGGACAGACCCCAGAAACCATCTTGTCACCAGCAAACTGGTTGGTCCACTAAAGGCGTGTACTGCTTAGTGGGGAGAACAGTTTGGGACTCCTCTGACTGATGAAGTGGATAGAGGGCGAAACGTATTTCCACAAAACAAACTGTTCAGATGACCATTACTGGACTTTGTACCTGGATAAATGAGCATGGTCTTTGATGTCCACCCAGCTAGGATTTGAACCAGCAACCTTCTTGCTGAGAGGCTGCTGCTCTATCAACTGTGCCGCCCAGAGACCAGATTACATTGAAAAAATTGAAGCTTTAAATTGTATAAAAAGTGTTTGCCCATTTTTTTTACACTGGTTTCCTTAGAGAACTTTACTAATTGGCTTTTTTTAAGTGAACGTTTTTGTTCAGTGCCCTCAAACAACTTCTGTTATAATTTGGCCCTATATAAATAAACGGAATTTATTCAGATGCTTGTTTGCAAAAGTGGAACGCATTTAAAAGTTGAGACGAGGCTAAAATCAACAATCAAACCTTTTATTTTCATCAAAAAGCACAAAGTCCAAAGCTTGTCCATCACTATGATCTGTTGAGTCGTTTCCGTCCCTTCAGGCCACAAGAGCATGAACTAATGATGACAGCACTCAAGACTATTTATGTTTGAATAAAATACTGAGCAAAACCCATGACTTACTTTTATATTCTCTGAAAATGAGCAGACATCTAGAAGCTGGAAGTGAAAACGTCTCGTCTCCAGGAGGAACAAAACTCCATTTCAGCCACAACCCAGTTTGAATGCTCATGGACACAAGCTCAAGTAAACACTAAAAAACACATCAATCAAATAAACTAATGTAATCTACCAAATGGAGCGAATTAAAAAAAACATTCAATTTTCCTGATCAACTTATGTGGCAGTAATGTCTTGTTACAATCTGATGGTTGGATTTAAAAAAACTAAATTAAAAAGTTTTTTTTTCCTGACAAAACAAGTACAAAATATAGAAAACACTAATGGAATCATGCAAAAACAGAATTTTTACTCCATGTACGTCCCCGTTCATTCACAACAAAAAACGTTGCATTGGTAAATCCACGTGCTTTTTTATTTATTTATTTATTTTTTCCCATTTCAGTGAGTTTCTATTTGATCTTCAGGCAAATATTAAAAAACAAACAACAAAATGAGACATTTAATCCTGAACTGTTTTTTATTCCAAATGAACAATTACAAAAATCAGCACGTATTCTGAGCATTATTTTCTGAAAGTACAAACAAAAAACACCAGTCACACAAAACCAGCAGAACCACAACGACCAGTTCAGCAGAACACGGACAGTCTGGAAGTGAGCAACAAAGCGGGATTAAAAACTGTGGAGATGCATCGGAGGTAATAATCCCGCACAACCCTGCCCCAAGGGGAACACTGACCCCAGTAGGCACCCCCCCCCCCCCCCCCGCAGCTGTGCTTTTCTGTACACAATCACTGTTTGAGTGATACAGAGTGACTTGATTCAGGAAGTCTGATGGTGAAAATAACAATATTAGACAAATAAAGAAGAAGCCGTGACTTTTTTTGGAGTATAACAGTACAGAAAGAAATCCTTGAAAACTGAAACACAACTGGAGCATGTGATGCAACGTGTGCAGCAGTGGCATCCAATGTTCAGGCATTTTTCTAACATCTGTCTTGTATAAATTGGAAATCACTGCTGTCCATTGACATCAACTTAGAAGTGTGATTTAGGTTATGAGCAGTAACGGGAAGAAAAACAGCTTTTAACCCAGATTCTCTGTTCTCCTTCGGGTTTGCCTCGAGCGTCTCGGAGGGTTAGAAGTCGGATTTTTCCTTTTAGTTTCGATGCCGTCCGGTACACGAGCAGCGCGGCGCGTCCGTGATGGGATGTAGATCTCTCTGCTTCGATGTTAGACCGTTTTCCTCGCCGTTAGTACCCTGACGATGCTGCCCACTCCTCCTGCAGCCAGTGCCTGAAACGCATCCAAAACAAACGATGTGAGGCTTTTTGTTACAGTTGTTGTGCAGTTGTTATCCACCTGACGGCAGCCTGCACCGTCTGAATCACCCGTTTCCTTTAATATTGATTTGTTACAGAAATAACTGATGACTTTTTATTATTAAAGCTAAAAAAAACGAAGCAAAAATAAACGTGTCTGCTTAAAATATTTGCATTATGACTGATAAACTACAAAAACACTTGAGACTTTATAAACTACTGTTGTAGTTTTGAGGGTTAATAAGACACTGAACAACCTAAATGTCTCGGCAGAGAAAACTAACTTGCACTCTAAACTGCTTCATAACTCTTAATTTATTACACTAAACTCTACTTATTAAAGGCTTGTTTATTAAACTTAATAGTGCTTATTAAAAGGCTTGTACGTCACAGCAGCTGTTTTCCCAAGACCTGACACAAAGTAGAACGTGCAGCCTGAAAAAGTGTTTTTCTTTTCGAGCATGCCACGAATGGTAGTCGAGTCCTTGTGCTGCATTAAACGCTACAAATGACTGAAAAGTGGGATGACTAGAAAATCTCAGAGTCCAGAGCCGAGCCTGCAGAAAATGTATTCCTCGAGAACGTCTTTAGAACGTTGCATGTGTGAAAACAGATAATGTGCATTTACAATCACTTCCTGTTCATGCCATTAACCTGCTTAACCTACAAATATTTTCATCTTAAATAAAAGCTTTAGAAACTTACACAGCTGTTTTATTGAGGGTATAAATGCTCATAAGCTTTACATTGTTAGTTTTGAAGATATACTTGAGAAAGATCAAACTGGTGCACATGTTTTTAGGAAAGAATCCTTCTAGACATTAAAGATCCATCCAAGCATCTCTTTATTGACTTTACCCGCTCGGTCCTGTTCAGGGAGCTGGTGTTAATCTCCACATGTACCTTTTCGTGCCACTGCAGCAGGACAGCGCTGCTGTTTTCTGACGGCCTCTCAAAGCCTTTGTAGATATATTTCATCAGCAGGTCCACGCCGTTCTTGTCAAGCGACTGCACCCCTTTCTCAATGTCACTGCTCTTAAAGGCACTGAGCACCTTCAGCACGAGACCCTCAGCTCGATCCTGGTCAGAGGAGCAGAAAACAGAGCACAGGTTATAAATCAGGACCAAAGACACAGAGATAATAAATCTATTGATGCAAATCATTATCTAAACTCATGTGAATCCAATCTTAACATTTACATTCATACTGAAACTGGTTACGTTCAAATATTGGTTCAGAAACGCCTCAAGCAGATTAAGGTGAGAACAAAACTTGTATTTCTACTGTCTACATTTCAAGATAGAAAGGCTTATTTGTGTTCAGATAAAATGCAGTCACTGAAAGTTCTACTGAAAATTAAAAACCAAGCCCACCTTGACGTTCTGGTTCTTTGTGTTGATTGGTGGATTCTTCAGAACTGCTTGCAAGGCCTCCATGAGGTTTCCTGTGCAGGGAGGGTTAAGGAGGCTCACACCTACATTACAACAGCCTTAATGACGAGACCAGAAGCAACATAATCTAAAGGTGGAGCTGCTGCACAACAAGTTCTTTTGTTTGTGTCACTGCCACTGAAAGGTGAAGGTGGATGATCATGATTTTACTCAAGCGCCTGTTAGCGAAATATCTCATGAACAGCCAGTCAAATTTGAATGAAACGCTGACCGAAACACAAAAATAGCTGCAACTCAGCCATTTTTGCTCATATTGAGCTACGATCTTTTGTGGTAGTAGCTGAGAATCATTCACAACACACACTCTGAGTGGCGTTCTGTGATGCTACATGAGATTGTGAGAGAGTATTTTCAATGTTTGACCAAAGCAGTGCAGTTTTATTTAGTAAACATGTTTTACAATGCAATGTGTATAACATGACTGAACATGAAGGCATGCTCGGCTCGAGGTTTTTATTTCTGCTGTGACGTTGGGCAAGAGGATGTACTTATTTTGAGGAAGTGCAGCACTTTCATGCCTTATATAGCCTTCAAGCTGAATCTGAAGGCCCTGATCTGAATCTGCAACACTTTTATCTCTGTAAATATCTGTCTCTCCAAATAAGCAACAAAGAAAATGTCACCAAAGGAGACAACTTCCCAAGCACTAAATGTAAATATATAAGTAAATTACACAATTGTTTCTTTTCTAGCTAAGCTTTGCAGGACTGGACGGACAGTTATTTATATATATTTGTAAAAGCAAAGATAAAGCTGGTTGAGTCTGGGGCAGAAATCCCTGGAATGTGTCTGTCAGGCAAGTCCGGACAGACACTAACTGGCCTGCTAGCAAAAACGCCCATCGGACAAGAAGTGAAAAAAACGACGGGAAATACGCAAATACGTGGAGGCACTACACACACAAAGCCTGTAACATTTGTTCTGAAGACGTTCACGACTCACACTCAGGTTAAATTAACATGTAAAGGATATTGTCTGACCAGGGAGTCCACCTCTGCCTCGTCGGGACCCAGCTGGTTTTCTCCTCCGTCGTCCTCGTCTACGAATTTGTTTTCGTCGTACTCATCCACGTCCACTCGCCTGAAGCGGGCGGAGACTGTATTCTTCGACATGTCTGCGGTGGTTTGAATGTGTTTTGTTCCGATTTTATTTTTAAAAAGACAAGAGTTGCAGCCTAAATTCTGCCCTTTTTTCCCCCCTTTGACGCGGCTGTCAGAGACAGGAAGAGAAGCAGCTTCCTGGTGTGCGCTGGCTTCTGTTTACTCACCGGCGCCCCAAGCGGTCACATTGAGTTACTGCAGGAACATGGGCGCAATTTGATACTATCACCGCTAGAGAGAGACAAAACCCCATAAATAACGAGTTATTAAAAAATACATATATATTTTAATTTATTTTATTTTATTTACCCTTTATTTATACAGGTAGTCTCATTGAGTCACGAGAACTCATTTTCAACAGAAACCTGTATGGGAGAAGATGCTTTTCCACCCACATTTTGATGTCAGTCCGGGAAGTAGAACCGGCAACTTTCCGATCACAGGCCCATCTTCTCTAACCTCTGCACCACCACTCCCTGATCTGTGGTAATAAAGCAGTTCTGAAATAATTTCATCATGTGATGACCTAAGTATGCTGGAAGTGGCAGAAATGAAGATGTTGAGGTTCTCCTTAGGAGTGACAAGGATGGAGAAGATTAGGAATTAGTTTATCAAAGGTTGAACAACTGATAAACTTAGAGAGGCCAGACTGAAATGGTTTCGACATGTCCAGAGGAGGGACAGTGGGTATATTGGAAGAAGGATGTTAGAAATGAAGCTGCCAGGAAAAAGACAAAGACGAAATATATGGATTCAGTTTGAGAGGACAAGGAGGTAGTTGGAGTGAGGACAGAGGACACAGAGGACAGAGTGAGATGGAGGAGGACGACCCGCTGTGGAGAACCCTGAAGAGGGAAAAGCTGTAAGAAGAAGAAGAATGATTTTGTTTTAGTAGTTTTCCCACTTAGCTGCAATTTTAGCTAGCCTTTTGCTCCTTTTAGCTACTGTGCTGCTACTATAGGCTTTTTGTTAGCTTTTTTGTTACTTTCAGCTACCAATCTGCTACATTTAGCTTCTAGCTTTCCTTTTAATCCTTTTGTTTACTTTCTGTTCTTTTTCAAAATCACTTCTTATGCTAAACTTTTTACACAAAGTAAAAAAAAACTTCAGAACTTCAAAAAATTCAGCCTGAGCGTGGAGATTAGAAGCCATAAATGAAGTCAGATGGAGTAAGGTTTGTGTTTCAGACTTCATAATAGTATATTATCTGAAGGGGTTCAATAAATGTGCTGCTCTAAATTCACCCTAGAATTCAGAGGAACATTATTCAGTCTGGATCAAACTGGTGCAGTGATCAAATTTGTGACTTTCCAGTGGATCCCTCTGCCTGACTGTGTGAGGACTGAGTCAGTGTTTTTCTTCTGACTAATTCACTGCAAAGGAAGTTTGGATTACCTGGATTAAAGTGGTTTTGCAGACATCACTGGAGTCCTGATGTCAGAGGTTTTCTGATTCATGAGACTACGTGCATTTTGCAGATACAGATTCTAATTACTACTTGTTCACCCACTCCAGCGTGTTTTATGCCTGAATAGACACCTAATTCAAAAACTAACTAAAAAATCTTCCTGTCACATTAAAAAGAAAAATGGATGCAATTTCTGGCACCATTTAAAACTTTTTCAAGGGGTCTTGTGATGTTACTAAGGATACAAACAGTTTCCTGGCACAGGTCATGACAAAGAGAAAGTGCTTAATAGAACACAGATTTCTTCTGGGAAGCAAATAAAGTAGGAGGGCCACACCTATGATGCTTTAGTTTTTTGTGTTTGAAGTGGAATTTTAATATACTTATCTTTCCTGTCTAGACTGCAGACCCTTTGCCTCAGGAGGAGAAAGGATAACATTGATTTATCCTTTCCTTCTTACGCAAACGTGTACGAGAAAGTGTTGCTCACTGGACGTGTCCACGTAAGAAGCGGGCAGAGAAACCAGAGCGGAAAGGCAACGTTTTTAAAACAAATTTACAGCTCGCTCGTTTCTGTCGTCCTGCTGATTAAAAAACAATCATGCATGAACAATTTCCTTTCTCATCTCTCCCACTTTTGCTTTCCTCCACTCCCAGCACTTTGCGTGTGTTGGTCATCCTCACTGCATGCAGCCTTTGTGCAGTGCCCCGACCTGTCTCTGCTATGTGAATGACTCAGTGCATCAAAAGGTGAGGTCTCAGGTGTATACATGATACTTAGAATAACACGCACGTTTAAAAGATAGGTGCAAATTTCCATTTGCTTTGGGACTAATAAGAACGGCTGAAGACACGAAACCTGACTGTGTGTCTCTGCAGAGCAGCATGGCTTCCGTGCCAGAGAAAAGGATTTACAGATTTTTTTAAGTATCTTAATGACATAATTAGTACTCTCACATAAAAGGAAAATTCCTCTTGAGTGATTATTTGATTGGGGGAATGTAATGATTTTAGCAGCTGCAGGTCTAGATACGTTCATTCTGCGACTTGAAGTAATTCTGGTCAAATGTTTTAATATCCTTGTGTGACTCCATTTTGGAACCATAAAATCTTATCACTCATTCATTCACCTTATCACTCAAAATGTTTTATGCACTCAATGATGTTAATGTAAACCTCTTACCTCAAGCAGCATTTAAAAAAAAGTATTCACCCCCTTTTGGATGCTTTACCCATTTAATGCTATTAAAAATCATCCATCCATTTTTTTTACCCGCTTCTTCCTTTCCAGGTCACAGGAGTCACTGGTGCCCATTTCTAGCAGTCACTGAGGCGGGGTACACCCTGGACAGGTCTCCAGTCCACCACAGAAACACATAGAGACAAACAACCATGCACTCTCTCACTCACACCTAGAGACAATTTAGTTAGTTAGTTAGTTAGTTAGTTAGTTAGTTAGTTAGTTAGTTAGTTAGTTAGTTAGTTAGTTAGTTAGTTAGTTAGTTAGTTAGTTAGTTAGTTAGTTAGTTAGTTAGTTTATTTGACAGGGACAGTTGCACATAAACATAGAACAGAACAAGTCTGTGACTGATGCATTGCACAAAGAGTACATAGCTACAGCTAACTCACAACTCCAGTCCCTGGTTGGGTATTTCTATGCCTTAAAATACATACAATTTATCAATCAAAATACAGTAAGAGCACCTATGTACTCCTGCCTACATATTCATGTAATCAACCTAACAGCCTGAGTTATTATTTAGAGTTACCAATCAGCCTAGCATGCATGTTTTTGGTCTGTGGGAGGAAAATGGTGTATCTGTAGAAATCCTGCACATGCATAAAGACAACATGCAAACTCCATCCAGAATGGCCCCCCAGCTGGGATTCGATCCAGCAACCTTCTTGCTGAGGCGGCAGCTCTATTAACTGTGCCATTGTGCCACCTCCCTTAGATTTATGTCCATCTTTAAAAAATGCATTCTGTAAAGCTATTGCTTGGGATTAAAGCCTGGATGACTCGAAATATTTTACAGTTTATGGAGGAAAAAAACACAAAGTGATGGTTTATGGTAGCCCTACTGAGAACCTCCAATGTGGATGTTTGTTCCATATACCAATAGATTAAGACAAGATAAAATGAGATACGATAAGATACGACACAATAAGATATGATGAGATATAATAAGATACAATATGAAAAGATAAGATACAATATGATACAATGTGATGAGATGAGATGAGATGAAATGAGATGAGATAAGATAGAATTTTATTTATCGCTCAGGTAATTGTTGCGCCAGAGTGTCAGTACAGGAGCATACACAAGGAATCGCACAAGATATTAAAAAAATAACAGAATATGAAAATAATACCAGAGAGGTATAAAAAACAATACTTAAATAATTAAGTTCTAAACAGGTCAGGCGCTGACAGAAACATTAGTGTTTATTGTGGTACAGGATTAATTTTATTGTCCTGTGTGTAGAAAGGGGGAGGAGTTGAAAAGTTTGATAGCCACAGGGAGGAAGGACTTCCTGTGGTGTTCTGTGGAGCACCTCTGCGGCTCGTTCTGCACGGACCGAACTCTACGGACCCGTTTGGTTCTGCAGAGAACCTTGGATGGTCTCAGTCTGACAGACCCGGTTCTGGACTGTGGTTTGTGAGGGTAGCTGATGCAATCCTTATTACCATCAAGCTGCTGACTGGACCTGCTAACAAGACCATGCCGCTAACAGAACAGAACACTGATGTTAAAAGAACCTCACTGCTAACCGAATCATACTCTAGATGTATTTCTTTTTCAACTTGTTTTTTAGTATTTTAGTATGTTTTTAGTATTTTTGCTGCATGCTTTGGTATTTCTTGTTGGGGGTTTTTTGGTGGTGGGGGGTCGTGGTGGTGGTGAGTCGAGACGGTTCTTCTCGTCTTAAGTGTTTCACCTCATTGTTGACCTTGTGTTGATTTTGCATATGACAGATAAACATAAACTAACCTAATCTCAGTGGTGTCAGTCTACGGCTGAAGTTGCTGCGGTAAAAGTCCAGTGTGTCATGCGGGGGGGGTGGCGTGTTGTTCAGGATCTGGAGCAGTTTCCGCAGCATCCTCTGCTCAGACACCTTTGTCAGAGACTCCACTCCCAGAACTGAACCAGCTCTCTTGATGAGTTTATCAAGTTTGCTGGCATCAGCTTTTTTCACCGTGCTGCCCCAGCACACCACAGCGTAGAAGAAGACGTTGGAGATCACCGAGTGGTAAAACATCTGCAGCGTGGTCCTTCAGATGTTAAAGGCCCTGAGTCTCTTCAGAGGAAAAAGGCGACTCTGTCCTTACTGGTAGAGGGGTGTTGGTGTTAGCTGTCCAGTCCAGTTTTTTGTCTTGGACCTCCAGGTACTTGTAGCAGTCTACAGTTTCTGGGGGGTGGGGGGGTGATCTTCTTCCTGTCCACCTGCAGCTCTTTAGTTTTTCCAATGTGGAGTTGCAGGTTGTTCTATCCACACCACTAATTATTAATTATTAATTATCACAAAAGTGGACACAGATCTTTAGTTTGACAGGTGTTTAAGTCAAATTAACCGCTGCTTAAAATAAAACCTTTTCAGACAAAACTTTGGGACAGTACTCCACCTTTGTCACCACTCGGATGGATCACTGTTACCCACTTCATATATGTGCTTCCACCACCACTCATCTCCAGGGAGGATACAAAATGCTGCAGCACGTCTGTTTACTGGTTACATCCTTTTACACCTGATCAGCTGCTCCTGAGTCAAAAACTTAGTTTAAGATGGGGGAATACCTAAAGTTATGGCCTCTCTTTACACATTAGATCACCCTTTTCTCTGTTTTGAAATCTTATTAAACCATCTCTTCTGTTTGGGCTTTAACACCATGTGAGATGTTGATTTTAGAATATTTTTGTATCCATTTTATTTTGCTTTGTTTGATTTTATTGTTGTGCAGCTCTAGGTTTTTATACTTTATTTTTATTGTTTGTTGTGCATTTGCAATTATTTGTCATTCTGTTCAGCACTTTTGTTCTGTGTGGTCATTTAAAGTGTTTTCCGTGTGAGTTTGTTTGACCCTTATTTAGCGTCTGTGTCTAATCGTCCCGTTTGTTTTCAGTGCGTCTCCATCTGTTCCTCACAAACGTCTCTGTACGTGTTATAGTTCGCCTCCCTGTGTTTTGCAAGCCTGTTCTGTTTATTTGTTTCCGCTTCCTGCAGGTGTTTTAGCCTTTTTTTTTATTTTTTTACTCAAAGTTCAAATGTTTTATTAGAGATGTTAGATATTAATATTTTCAGATTATCTTGGGCTCATATTTTTTAATCAAATCCTTCCCTGAACTCTAAAATAACAAAAGGCAACTTTCACAACATTTAATCTATCATTGCAATCGCTTCAAGGTAAAAATTCCTGCCATAAATAGGTTTTGTTTGGAATGAAACATATTAATGTGAGATTGCATTTTTTTGTAATAAACATTGTGACTTTTATACTGGTTACAGGCTATTTTTATGTATTAAGTTGCAAAGATCCTAAAATATCATAGCTTAAAGCAGAACACGATCTATAAAAGAAACATGATGAACCTTAAAGTGATGAAACTTCACGTTTCTATTGTTAAACAATCTGCGTTTCATACAGCTGAAAGCTCTTCCTCAGTACAAGCCACGCAGCCTCATTCTGTAACACAAAAGGAAACAAAAGAAAAGGAAACTAAACCTGGTGGAAATCCAAGTTCTGAGCTGATGTATTATTTCAGGAGGTTTCCCCCAGATGTCAAATATTTTAACAGAAAACATTCCACAAGATGAATTCTGACGTTTATTATTGTACTTTACCACCAACAATAAAATCCTGTACCTCATGCTTTGCCAGTTATAATACATTTAACGAGAACAGGTCATTTTGATGCATAAATCCACAGAATAGACCTTTTAGCTTCTTACATGTAAACATCTTTAACAACTTTAAAATGAAAATGGTTAAGAGCCACAACTCTTATTAACTTTCTAAATAAGATGTTAGACAAAAAAAAGTGTAACCTAAACAAAATTTGAGAAAAAGTCCTAAAAAAAATCATACATAAAACCTACTTTGAGAAACACATTTATTCACTTTCTGTACAAGAAAATCTGTTTGGAACTGAAATAAATTTATTTTGGGTGTACGTCTACAAACTATGTGACAACTGACACATTTGTTGCAGTGAATGTACAGAATATTTGTGCATAAATCTGCAACGCTTTTCCAGCTTTAGATTAAGCTGCTGTTTTGAGTCTCTGGTGCACTAGAGCTCACCAGCAACAGGCAGCCTTTTTTTTAATTTTTTACATAAAACGTTATTATCCTGAGCATTAAACTGATTGGAGATAAAAGTTACCAACTGCAGCAAAAAGTTAGGGAATACATAGGATCATGGGTTTTGTTGTTATTGCTTGTTTGACACATTTAAATACATATTAGTAATAATAATAATAATGAAAAAATTAAATAGTAGTATACTGCATATATGTATATATATACACGCATATATATATATATATATATATATATATATGTGTGTGTATATATGTGTATATA